TGCTTATAAAAACACAAGTTTCACAAAAGGTGAACATATAATAGTTGTACAGTAAACCATCGATTTATAGGTTACGATAACGTAAAATTTCTGATAAAATGAATTCAAATAATAAGGAAAGTATACAAAATATATTTTGTACCAGGTTAAATATGTTTTCGTGTGTTCTATGCATATTCTGTTTGTAAAAAACTGAAACAGTTTCATAGAGTACAAAGTGCATGGATTGAATCAACGTGCAATCTGTGCGTTCGTCACACGTGTACTATAATGATAAGTAGTCCGGTACAAGGAGAGAACAATGCAGTCTTTAACTTTACTTCCCATCAATACATGATTCCCATGATCGTTATACTATCTTTGTAAATATCTATGTGAGATACGGTACTCTATTTATTAAACATCTGCACAGAGATCATACATTATGTCCATAAATCGAGCATTCGATACGATGTAACTGCATTTAATCCCAATGACCGTATTGTTATCGATTACGCGAGTATGTACGAAGGTCATTTTCGTTTCTTGATCATAAAGTCGAAAGCAAGATTCGAGATTTGACTGTTTGCTATGTTCGATATAGAACAATGATCAGTTCTTTCAAATAATACATAACCGGAAACAACTGCGTTTTGATTGGTAACGCTTAATCCTGATGTGTTTGTTCATAAAACAACGTTTCCTATTAGAGGCATTATTTATCATACAAAAAAATAAACCATTCGTAAACATGATTTTGCACATGCGATCATCTTACGTATGCCAAATTTTTTCTTCCGCCTCGGTCGATCGTGCACGCAAGTCTTCTTTTTGTTTTTATAAGATATCGCGTGTCATGAATCATTGTTAGGAATTCTGTCAATGAAAAAAATAGAGAAAAAGATGCAAAAAAAAAACGATCTAATCATTTCTAACTAATAGGAAGGAGAAAATTCCATGTAGCAACTTACCAGAGAGGAATATCATGGCAGTTAATGTGGTAGAGTATTTGATCATTTCTATTTTGTTGCTAAAATATGTTCGACCAGGGATTGTGTGGAGATGCTTGCCAACGTCGGAACACTATGTATTATCCGGAAAAGTAGAGAAAAGTATTTATATGATGAAATAACGAGACAGAAATGTACGTTCAGTTACGCATCACAAGTGTCACTTTGAGTGCATTCGAATTGTTCTGTTTATTATAAGAAGCATACGCCGATGTGTCAGCGTTGTCTGGAAAATTAGTGAAAGGAAGAGAGATAAGAGAGCGAGACACAGTGATTTCGAAAGCGGAGGACAGAGATACACTGTAGTAACTCCCGAGAACAATATTTCGATACTAAGTTGTTGAGCGCACGCGCTCCGCTTATATAAATCTCATATGCATAGTATGTATATATACTCCATATACTACCTTTGCTTCTGTGTTAATTTTAATTCGATTCTATGAATATGTATGCACATATATATATATCACCTAATGTAATCTAGTTGTCTTGCATAATTTTTCCTGTTTTGAAAATAAGTAATTTTGCATTCAATAAATTATACTGAAGTAATTATATGTACATAATTTAATAGTAGTTGAACATTTTACATAGAAAGTTATAAAGTTTGAATCGGTCCTTAATAATTTAGAATTTAGACAATCTTTAGAATATTTTATATATAATAAATATCGATATAATTTATTTGGTAATTTATACATTTATAAGATATATTTAAAATACTGAATATACAGATTCCTCGGTAGTATAGTGGTTAGTATCCCCGCCTGTCACGCGGGAGACCGGGGTTCGATTCCCCGCCGGGGAGATGTCTTTTTTGCATAATTTTCAAATAACTTTCTCTTGTTTTTATTCCTTCCTTTTTTATATAATTATAACGTAAAAAATATATATTTTAATAAATGTCTATATTTCGTAAAGTATACTCAAAACTATATTTTACTGTCGCTACTTTGAGATGTTTGATTGATATCCAACTACAATTATTTAATCCAGTTCGTTCGTCGTTATGAAACACAATGGCCTTGCTATGAAAATGCAAGGATCGTTTTCACGCCGTAAGATAAAGTCCTCTGTGTCCTGACTGTTATTGTAGTCTTTTGTATACGACTGTATACTTGTATACTTTTACTCTTGCAAATATTTGATCCTTACAATAAATAGTAGAGACTTCAGTGATATATTTAAGCATATATGCTTTTAATAACCTTCACAATATAACGAGGTCCAAAATTAAAGCATCAAATAACAGCACTGATTGGTGCAATGACAATCAGGGCCGCATGCGACACACTGTCTTTTTGAATACCGTCTATACCAATGGTAAAGTCCATGCAATATTAAATTAGGTTTCAAGACTCTAGATTCTTAAAGTGGTGTTATCCTTTTAAGTGCTTTTTCGCAATACAAAAGGGGCGACTTTAGGCCTTTATTCGTAGGGCACAGTCATGGGAAAAATATTACGATTTCATTTTCTTCAATCAATCAAAATATCCCATTTTAAACAAGTCAGTAGGAATTATATTTTGATATTCCACTTTTAAAAGCTTTACTAGCAACTTCTTCAAGTAGTAGATAGAAAGATTACAACCAAATCAGTGAATGAATACCTTTGATGTATCTTTTGAGAGTTCGATTAGTGAGAAATTGGTGAGTGAGATTCGGGTTATATTTCACTGTTGAGTTCACAAGGTTTCACGTAAACAACATAACAACTTAAGCGATCCTGCTTAAGCTTCATCTTCTCAGGTTTCTATCTATTTGTTCATTGCAATGACTCGGATATGTGACATTTGATCTGTTTTGCATTTTTATGAAATCTGTTGCAAATAATACTGCGAAAATAGGAAAGATAGTCTTTATATGTGCATATGAATAATATAACAGCAATTCAACATAAAGAGTAATGTAGTGAACAATATAAATGTGTTAAAATAAAAAGATTTATAATGTTAAATATATATAAATGTATGTGAATCAGTTCACCATTAAAATAGAAACTGCATTCATGCAATCCTCGGTAGTATAGTGGTCAGTATCCCCGCCTGTCACGCGGGAGACCGGGGTTCGATTCCCCGCCGGGGAGATATTTTTTTTTTAAATTAAATTTATCATATTTGTAAGTTGATGCAAGGATAAAATATTTTCAAGAGTCAAGAAGTAACTAGACCATATCGGCCTGCAAAGTTATTTATGTTTTGTTAACATTTGGTAAGAGTATACTATGCTAAAGTAGCCTGTATACAAAAATGTAGAATACCAAACAAAGGAAGGCGAAAGACTTAATCTCCTCAACGTGATCATGAAACCTTTGCATTTCATATCAGGGCTATTCTGTTTCGTAGAGACTGACTGAAACTGTTAATTTTTATAAATAGATGTTTTTTACTGACCTTTTAACTCAGGAATTAAAGTGTTGTTTTGAAATAAAAAAGATGATAGTCACAAAAAGTATTGTTATTTCGTAACTAATTGGTAATACCCGTTTCATTTGTTCCTTGTGTAACGTCAATTCGCATCAGAGACCAGGCCACACACCACGGACAGGATGGCACCCAGATGTCTGCACATCCTTGGCGGGTACCCTCAATAGTCTTAAGTATCCACCAGGGGTCTTGGAATTTTTATAGTTAAGGTCCTTCGGACCAAGCGAGTGTTTCTTGTCTTAGATTCCCTTTTACGTTTATTGTCTACCACGTGTTAGCCTAGAAAGTTGGTTTTCTTCACATCTGGTATGTTCCGTTAGCAATTTTCTCGCGAAGGCGGCTAAAACCCTCCCTGGCCCACCAATCGTCTTATTATCCAATCGGAGACAGTGTCTACTGCCCTTACTTCCTTGACCAAAATTGTCATCAACAAATCCGATAGTCCCGCGTCCTTAGACACACCCACCCCTAGCCTTCCTCAGCTACAGTATCGTCAGTAAGACTCACTTATTCTGTATCCTTAGAATAGTCAACATATCTTTTACCGGTCTCTACTCTTATAACAGTCGCGTACTTGATATATCATTGTAACTGAGTCTTACATAACGTGTTTGGAGTGAATTGTGATTTATTTTAATTCAGTGTGTATTACATTGTGATTGCTGAATTCGTAATAAAGTTTAATTAAAACCAAATTAATGGTTGTGTTACGTCTCAGCTATTTTATTTCATCAACCAACCCTTAAGTTTACGTGACACCTGCAGCGGTGAACGTACTGGACAGAATTGTAGTCAAAGAAGCTGAACGTCGTAAAATAATATCAGGAAGTGTATTTTTGATTCTAGAAACGAACAGATGATTTCTCCAAAACGTACTGCTGGTTTCCTATTAAATATTGTAAGTAAAACCGAAAAGAAGTTGCAGAACTGTTAACCCACAACGTAGTATGGAAGAGGACCCAATTTATGGCACCCTCGAGTGTCCCCATCTTCTCTTTCCAAATCCGTGGGTGACGAAAGCTACGAACAGTTACTTACTTTTTCTTGTACTATTTTTATATATATGTAATTCTACTGATTTTGAAATATTTTTAAAAGTTTTCATTTTACTTTAAATACAGCAACTAGTATTACGGGCATACAATACTTTCCTTGCGGTTTTGAAATAAATGCTCAAATATTACTATTATTAGACTGTTTACAGGGAAGATGCCAAAATTTTTTAATAAAATATTAATTTTTATACCATAATATCTACAAACAAATAAAATTTCATATCGTAACGCGCGTATATGTTATAGTAAAATCTTATTATTCTGTTAATTGTAGTTTTCAGCTTTTCTACGTAATAAAGTTTTTATTATTTAAAACGTGTTCATACTATTATATCTATTAAAAAAATAAAAGGTAGGGAGGCGTAGAAAAAGATTTTTTATTCGGAGAAGCATAGTAGCATAAAGATTGGAGAGCGTTGAAATATGGCATGATAATAGACTCGTAGTAAAATTTGCTAATAGCTGAAAATAGGTCATATTACACCAGTTTTTAGAGATATTTTGTCTTTTCCTACGCAGCATCGGTGGTTCAGTGGTAGAATGCTCGCCTGCCACGCGGGCGGCCCGGGTTCGATTCCCGGCCGATGCAAAGTACTTTTTTGCCTTATGAATTGTAATTTTCTATTACGTACTGTGTTTTATTTTTTTTTATACCATTATGCGTATCATTCTCTGTGTTGCAATTTTAAAATAGACAACCCGTGACCTACGATGTAATACCTAAGAGGACTTAATTTATTACACTCTTAAGGTTGTGTCGCTACCACTTCCTAGATCCCATTAGTATAGAAAACTGAACGATTGTTTTGTATATTTTTAAGGCTTCGCGTTCTCTTACTGTATAACGACTATTAGGTAAAATAACTGAAATAATATCTGTGTTCTTTACTTAAACAATAGAATTTGGTACTTGGCAACTCTGCGATTTCAAGTCACTTGAATGGCTGCGTATTTTTATATGCATATATATACATACATATGTAGATAACAATACTGAAAACACGCACATTAAGTATCAACTAGAAGTTATTCAAAAGCTAGGGTACGAAAATGGCAACACACAGATTTTTCTTTCTTGTTTCTTCGAAACAAGTGCAAATTTTTCTTTTAAGGTTTCTTATAATAAATTTCTTACTAGCATTTATAACTAAACTTGATAACATTGCTTAGAAGGCAACTTTGTTATTTGCATTGGGCTATTATATTTATAGATAATATGTATACGTATATGCATAAGTATATGATCGTTGTTATGAGATTAAGTCAGTTGTTAAATCTAATTACCAGATTTAGCAGCGTGTGTCTTTTTTATGTATGTATATACATGATCGATTATCTGTTTGAATTAGGCCTGAAGTTAGTAGGTTTGTATGTTTTAATAATTGCTTTTATATGTTTGTTGTCGAAAAAGATCCTTCGCGAGGGTACGGCCTGAGAAAACTCCTTCAGGGCCTGTTGCAAAAATATGATGTACAATGCAAATTTGTACTACAAACTTATGATGAATCACTGTGTCTGTCGCACATCAGTCCATTGTAGTAAATACAATAAGTAGGTCTAGAGCTTTCGAACGGATCTTAGATGCCAATATCAACCAAAAGTATTTAAAAGTGAGTACTGAGATTATATTAAAATTTATTATCTAAAACTAGATCATACTAGTTATATTTCTACATAATATTTTGAAATGTTTCCCGTAGCATCGGTGGTTCAGTGGTAGAATGCTCGCCTGCCACGCGGGCGGCCCGGGTTCGATTCCCGGCCGATGCAACCTTTTTTTCTTTTTTCTTTGTAATTTTATAGTATGCTATAATTTTAACAGTTTTTTTCATATATCGTAGAATTTATTATAGATTTATTAAATAAACATTACAATTGTCACAATAACATAGTTGATAATTTAATCCACGGTAAAGGAATGAGATAAAGATTGGTATTATCAAAAACTGATAATTTATCGAACATCTATCAAATATTAAACTAGAAGATATTTTGACTAGGGTAAAGATATCTTACTAATTGAAGTACTTTGAAAGGGATTAATACTAAATGGAGATTAAAATCGTTTGAGAAATCGAAGAAAATCGTGACGCATGGCTGAGGTATTTGTATAAGGATTCCCAACTAAATATTAAGCATCCAATTTTCGTCACACTCTCTTATACTTTAAAATATATGTAATTGGAGGAGTGAAATTGAAAAAGATTACCGATTAAGAATTATAATGCTTGAAATTGCTTTCTAAGGCTTGAATAGGTGAAATTGTATTACTCAAAGAATGCATGAAATGGCATCCTATTTTACAGTATGAGTATATGTGCTTGCTTCGCTGCATTGGACCCAGTAACCAAGCTTCTGTCCTTACAAGCTATGCACACATTTCACAGATGGTCGTGTATACAAATATATAAATAGCCAACTTGGTGCAGTGGTTCTCAAACTGGACCAAACATTCTAGTCAGAAAAATAGTCACATATGTGTAAATGTTTAAACGTATAAATACCTTCTCTGTTTATTGCGAACATTAATTAATATTGATTAAATTTATATACAATATTTAAGAATTACGAAAAACATTTTTAGATCAGATTGAGAAACACTGTAGTGTTATAGATATGAGGATCAACGGATTATTTTGCTAGCTTCTTCACAGAACACCTTAGTCATCAATTAGTTGCATTGGGTGAAAATCGGCCGGTAGGCGAAGCTAGTAACCATGAATTATTACATAAGTCAGTTTGCTGTATTCCGCAAATTGTCTAGGGGTTTGCGCATGAATTTTTCATTAGCCACTACTAGTTGCGCGAATACTTTAAAGGTCAACATTAAGCACGACAGTCGTAAATTTAAAACCAATATAAATAGAACTGAAGGAACACCTCGTTGCAGGACTGTGTAAAGATTCAGAGTTTATATGCATTTCGCATCATTAAATCGAAATAGGCGTCATGATCGATGCTTGCACTGATGGCGCTGTAATAGTTCATAAATTCTTCTTCAGTGACCTGTAACGAAAATTATGAATGCTGCAATTCGCCCAAAGTCAGTTTTAATCGCGATAATTACACCGTTACGATAAAGCAATCTCTCTACATTATTATATTCAACTATTATTTTAGTAATTATTATTACTAATCATTATTTGGTTACTCTACTTTATTATATTCAATTATTATTTTAGTGATTATTATTATTACTACTTATTATTTAATTTACTATATTTTATTACATTCAACTATTATTTATAATAAAAATTTCCAATAGAGAAAAGAAGATACTCACAGTGCCATCTCTGGTATTATTTTGTTCAAAGTTGGCCAGAAACTTATTCAGAATACTGTCCTCACTTTCTTCACCGCTGATATAACGGGGATGGCACTTGACATTGTAAACTCCTTTCAAATCTTCGATCGTAATCACTCCATCGCCGGTTTTATCCAGTTTTTTAAAGGCTTGATCCACCACGTTTCTGCGATTTTGAGACATCGGCGGCTACACAAAAATTTTTTTATTCAGAATCCAGCAATTTATTGAATTACCTAATTCGGAAAATACACTTACTCTTATGCCAGCGATGAATTCGTCGACGCTGATGTTCCCATCGTTGTCTGTGTCGAATTTCGTGAACATGTTTTGGATATCCTCCTCTGGAAGTTCCAGACCACTTTCTTGAAGGCCTCTGGTGAATTCATCTAGGTTCAACTTCTTGTTTCCGTCATCGTCCATACGACGAAAAGCTCTATATAAATTAACTTGTGGTATAGTATAATAAATTATTATGTTTCTCTGGAAGTTTATAATAAATTAATTTATGGTACAAATGAGATAAGAGAGATTCTAAGGCTTAAAATGAGACGAAAATGAAAATTAACAAAATTGTAGAAAATTAAATGTGTAGAAGGTTCATTCTTGAGAAAATCGATTTTGAAAATTTGCGATAATCAATAGCAGCTTATTCCAAATATATAATGTGACAATATGTCAAAAATATAGAATAACATTTTTTCATTTGAAGTCCTATTTTCGAGAAAATCGAATTTGCGAATTTGCCTAATATGTGTGTCCAGTTAATTCTTAATTGACGTATTGAAATTTTGTTTTCTCCAAAACGAGGCCTTAGACGACAAAATTTTGTTCTTCATTTTCAACTCATTCTCATATGTAAAATAACCTTCTGCCAATTATCGGTTACTATCCAGTCGAGAATCAATCAATTTACGTATATATACTTCGCAAATTTTCAAACTTGATCTCTGTCTCAAAATCGAAACCTCTAATACAATTTTGCTATTTTCGATCTTCGTTTTATTTTGAGCTGTGGGACCTCACTGACCTCATTTATACCACGAATTACTATCCTGTATAATGAATTATATGTCTATGGAATTTTATAGTAAGCTCTTGTTAAGTGTCATAGGATAATATATGTAAAAGATTTGGAATTTTGGATTACATAATTTATATATATATAATAAATAAAAAAGGAATTGTTAACTTACCTGCCCAACCCTAGGATGCCATTGGCACCTCTGGCCAGACAGAGCAAACGAAGTTTCTCTATGGAGTCCGTGGTGTTATACAGGGCCCGTTGGGCCTTATTGATCATCTCAGTTTCTTGCCTGGTTGTTGCGCTCTGTGGTCTGTTCAAGAACATTTCTGAAAGAGAAATCCGCACAGTGACTCATGACTATGACTCAGGTGTTTGGAAAGAGACAGAAAATCTGTATTCAACATCTCGATTTTCTGATTATTCTTATAAAGTAATCTATAACTTTCAACTATACATATACATCGTCTATTATTCCAGGAACCTGCTATTGTTCCATTCACAAAATCCAGATATACGTTTGTATATTAATCCTTGCAATTTCTTATCTTAATTAGATAAATGCAGAAATAAGTAAGAGGTGGGAAAATTGGAAGAGAAGTGGAAATTGCTTTCAATTTCTTAACGTTACGTTATGTTTTTTTCCTTGCTCTATATGAAGTGGCAACGCAATGCGTCCCCACTGTGCATACTTCGATCGTTTCGTTAATTAGACGCAATTTAATTCCTCCAAAGGTGCAGTAGAGGTCCCGCTCTAACTTGGTTAACTAAATAGCTAGAAAGGAACACTAACTCGTCGAAATTGACCCATTGAAAAACTGAAATGAGAATATTGGATCGATTTCGCACGTACGATTAGACGATCGATCGTTGAACGATTCTTGCTTTATGCGCCAAATTATTCCATCAATTATTTGTAAGCATGAAAGCAGAGCGGAAATTGCCACAACTGGTAATAAAATTAGCGAAGACAGAACGATGTAAATTACAGTGAAACTTTAGTATATTTTTACGGGAGTCAGTGAAATAATTATCAGTGAGTCATTCGTTAAAAACAGTTATGCACAAAAAAGAATTATCCTTGGAACAAGTTGCACTAAAATATGTATATAGTGTTTGTACTAATCTAAAATCTGAATATCGATATTGACCTTTAGATCGAGATCTCGATTTGTTTCTGTTCAAACATAAGCACTTGTGCTGAGCTAAAGATCTTTAAAATACTTTATTTATGTGGGTAATTTAGAATGACTGCCTTAATTACAATAATTCGAAATTTTTCTTTCTATACTAATTTATTTATTTATCAAATTTAATCTTGATTTAACTTACTTTGGTATCTTGGAGCTGCATATACTGTTTTTTAGAATAATTCTAATCCACTGGTGATGATAAAAAGAGTGAAAAGAATTCGTAGCTCCTTTGAGGAGAACCGGAAGGCGAGTGACAAGGGATTCCCTGGAAGCGGATCCGCGCATTCTATAGGACGCTACACACTGGATTACACACGTGAACAGATAAAACACATTCACGTATGAAAACAAGGTGTGTTCGACATACATAAACCATACGATAGTCTGTAGAAAACGTATCCATAACGACCGACTAGTCACAACATGTGTATCGGAAAAAAATTCACGCGTGATCAGTCACCGCTACCAATTTCCTGTCGATAATTCTCCCATGATTACCAACTAAAATCCTCAATAAATTCTATGTCTAATTGTTAAGTGTAGCACCACCTTTCAAAATGGCATTAGGATTCTCGAGAGTAAGAATATAATTTTCTACTTGTTTATTAAAAAGTAAAGTTATTTTAATTGGTATTAAAGTTCAAATGATTCAAAGTTGTTTTATTGCGTAATTATGTTACAGTAATGATCATATCCGGTCTTTGTTCCAGGAGACCTATTCTGTTGAACAATATGTATCTAGTTACTATTCGTTGACAAGCAGTATTATATGATGAAAGTAATTTTGCGTCTGAAATTATCTCGACGATGTGACATCACACTGTGATATATAGAAAGATAATGATAATATGTATTGCTTTGACCTTGAAAAATAACCATCCGTTTTAATTGCACATATATTAATAATTTTTACTGTACACAGAATATATTTAATTAGAAGTGCTTAATAATTACTTTAAATTCTATTGCGTTGTTGTATTATCGCATTGCTAATACATATTTATGTATAAATAAAGTAAAATATAAAATTCCAATGCGCACTTACTCAAGATCAAGAATTTGAATTGATTTTACCGACATAGAAACAGATGATAAGTTATCGATTGACCGAAATTACGCTTATCACCTATCGGTAACTATCATATTGTTGAATTTTTTAAAATTTTATTAATTATAAATTTCTTTAAATACCATGTTTTCATACCAAATTATTTTGTATATTAAGGAACGTAGTATTAAAACAAACTATTTAGTAAATATATTATTAAAAAACGGAAATATCAAGGGAATATTCTAGAATAGTAAATGCCATGTGTTGTGTCTCTCCACCAATCCGAAGAAGACATTTGGACCAAGTTCCAGCCGGCTTGTATCTCATTGGTCGACGTGTATTGCGTGGGTTCATTCTATTGGTGGATTACTACAGTCACCTTTTAGTATATCAAAGCGTCGCGGGTCAGATTATATGACAGTCGGCATAAAACAGCGGATCAAGGTGTTTGAATTGGATCTAAGGATATATACTTTTTCTTCCTACCATTATTCGTGAATCTTTCACGGCAACAATGAAAAAGGCGTTATTATTATTATCGGTCCTGTTTTTTGCAGCAGGTAAGTTTAATAAAAAGCGTGTAATCAAAAGAAAAAAAAACCATATTAGAATGCTCCCGTTAATCGAGCAAAAGCATCAACATACATTTTTGTTATCTAGGACTCGTTAAGGCAGAGAGTTTGGTTGAGGAGGATGTGGGAACAGTGGAAAATGATTTGGGTGCTAGCCGCGAAGGATCTCGTACAGGTGAAATACTTCTTCCATTCTGGTTTTTCTTCTGTCGTCATCTACATCGACGGATTAATCATTCATGATAACTATGATATAAAACAGATGCACACTATTACGCATAAGTATTTGGACGCTTCCAAATTATTTCAAATATTCTTCAAAAAAGGCTCTTTGATTTCATTTTTACATCTAATCTTATCTAAGGCAGCCATATACAGTTAGTAGATACAGACTGATAAGGACAATAGTTTGATATTAATTAATATAAATAAAAAACTGAAGGTGGATGAAAATTGCTTCTATGAAAACACCCAAGTTAAGTGACTTTAAGTATATCTGTTTAATTAAGATCTTACAATGATTTTATAAAGTGCCAGAAGATCAGTGTTTTGATTAGATCCCATTAAGTGTCCAAATATTTTTGCATTGTAGTATACATATGGAATCTTTATCTGATAACTTTGACTATGAGACATATGTCTTTTTTCCTTACATTTGGGGTTAAAAATAATTTTCTGCAAGTTCTATAATATTCTGCGATGGATGGAATTTGGTTTAATAAGAAAATACATTTTGCAGATAATGAGGTAGTTCAAAGAGAGGAGGAAGCAATCAAACTAGATGGATTAAATGTTGCCCAGATAAAAGAACTTAGGGAAAAAGCTGAGAAATTCACCTTCCAAACTGAGGTCAATCGTATGATGAGACTCATTATAAACTCTTTGTATCGTAACAAAGATATTTTCTTGAGGGAGTTGATATCTAATGCATCTGATGCATTAGACAAAATCAGACTACTCTCGCTCACTGATAAAAATGTCTTGGATACCAATCCAGAGCTAGCAATTAGGATAAAGTCTGATAAAGAGAACAAGATATTGAGCATAACTGACTCTGGTATTGGTATGACCAAGAATGAATTGATCAACAATCTTGGAACTATCGCAAAGTCAGGAACTGCTGAATTCTTAGGAAAAATGCAGGATACTTCGAATGCTCAGGATTTGAACGATATGATTGGTCAATTTGGAGTTGGTTTCTATTCTGCTTTTCTTGTCTCTCATACAGTAGTAGTTACCTCCAAGCATAATGATGACAAACAACATATCTGGCAATCTGATAGCAGCAGCTACAGTATTGTAGACGACCCTAGGGGAGACACATTGAAGAGAGGAACTACAGTTAGGTGAATAAAATGATATTTCTTACATTTTGTTTTTACGAAATTCGTGAAATTAATTTCGACTGCTTTGTAATTACAGCTTGCATTTGAAAGATGAAGCATTAGATTTCTTAGAAGAGGATACCATTAAAAATCTTGTAAAGAGATACTCGCAATTCATCAATTTCCCCATTTACCTTTGGAGTAGTAAGGTTGTCCAAGTAGATGAAGATGATGTGGAAGAAAACATCCCTTCTAAAGAAGATGAAAGCAAGAAAGAAGAGTCTGTTGAAGACAAAGTAGATGAGGAGGAGGATGCAAAAGTTGAAGATGCAGAGGAAGAGAAAAAATCAAAAAAGGTTGATAAGACTATTTGGGACTGGGAACTCTTAAATGATTCCAAACCCATATGGTCTTTGAAACCATCTGAAGTTGAAGACAAAGACTATAATGACTTCTATAAGGCACTAACAAAGGATACTCAGGACCCTCTAACAAAGATCCATTTTGTAGCAGAGGGTGAAGTCACCTTTAAGTCGCTTCTTTTCATTCCTAAAGTTCAGCCAAGTGACAGCTTTAATCGTTACGGCACTAAAGCGGACAATATTAAGTTGTATGTCAGGAGAGTTTTCATCACAGATAAATTTACAGACATGATGCCTAACTATTTGTCCTTCATTCGTGGTATCGTCGATAGTGATGACTTGCCATTGAATGTCTCACGTGAAAACTTGCAGCAACACAAACTCATTAAAGTAATCAAGAAGAAGCTGATTCGAAAAGTGCTGGATATGATAAAGAAGATTCCTAAGGGAGATTATGAAAAATTCTGGAAAGAGTACAGTACTAACATCAAACTAGGCGTGATCGAAGATGCTCAGAATAGGGCCAGATTATCCAAGCTTCTTCTATTCCAATCCTCTATACAGAAAGGTGTGACATCATTGTCGGAGTACGTGTCCCGAATGAAGTCCAGTCAACAGTATATTTACTACATCGCTGGCTCTTCCGAAGAGGAAGTGAAAAAATCTCCATTTGTGGAGAGATTGGATAAGAAAGGTTATGAGGTTCTATACCTTACCGAAGCAGTCGATGAGTATGCTATTTCTGCTCTCCCTGAATTCGACGGTAAGAAGTTCCAGAATGTAGCTAAAGAAGGTTTCTCGCTTGACGAGGGGAAGAAGGCCAAGGAAAGGATGGAACAGTTGAAAACCACATTTGAACCTCTGGTCAAATGGTTAAATGATGTTCTGAAGGATCATATCAGCAAGGCTCAGGTGTCTGAACGTCTCACGGACTCCCCGTGTGCATTAGTTGCTAGTATGTTTGGATGGACAGGTAACATGGAGAGATTGGCCATTTCAAATGCTCATCAGAAGACTGACGATCCCCAGAAGACATACTACTTAAACCAGAAGAAGACTTTGGAAATTAATCCGAGGCATCCACTTATTAGGGAACTTCTGCATAGAGTTGAAGTTGATAGCTCTGATCAGACAGCAAAAGATATCGCATTAATGATGTTCAAAACGGCTACCCTTCGATCAGGGTACATGCTTAGAGAAACTGCCAGTTTTGCCGATAGCGTAGAGCAACTGATGAGGAAGACCTTGGGTATTTCTTTAGACGAAGTTCCTGAAGAAGAAGAGCTGCAGGAAGAAGAATCTGGATCAACAGAGAAGCAGGATTCGGAGAAAGTCGTAGATATAGATGCCGATGAGGATGAACAAGACGAAGAGAAACATGACGAATTATAATCGAAAATTGTATCACATTAGATTATAATTTTCTAGTTGTATGGCTATACAATGTATAGTGAATTATCATTGAAGATGCAACTGTGTTGTTGCGAGTAAAGATGAACTATTGTACAGAGGAGAAAAAAGTATGATAGCTATATCCTTTGATGACACTTTGCAGCATTTCATACTGTTTTTTGTAATCCAATACCATTGCAACAGCGTATCAAAGGATATGATAATTATTTAAAGGTGAAAAAAGGAGATTTATCGCTCATTAAGTTTGTCGTTATAATAATGTGTAACCTCATAAGTTCCATTTTTGGTAAAAAAACAATTTTCATAATTTATTTCGTTTGATCTTCCACCTTTTTATATAAGTAAAGCGAAAAGAATTACTGACTGAACTCAATAAATATATATATATAGTATGTTTGTGATGCGAATGAATGTATTTGTATAAAGGATATTTAAAAAAAGATTATTGTGATGTTGTTCATGTCCCCGTTCCTTTATACGAAGACCACTACCGATCGATTTTGTTCCTTTTATACAATTTACGATTTTCCATCAATCAAAGATAATTATAATCTTTTAATCATAATCTATCTACCTAAGATATCGAAAATTTTGTTCAATTTTCAATTTTTCGAGTTTCTTTTACAATTGTTAAGTTTGTTTTTGCTTTTTTAAAAAGTTTGATTAAGTTCATAAAAAGAAATGGATCAGAAACCGCATTTTAAACACGTTGGAAAAGGTATACTGGTAATTACTTTAAGGATATTATCTAGCTAATGAAAGAAAGTCTTTAAACAAAATAATTTACAGACAAAACTAATTGTCAAAAGTTTTACAATTTCTAAATGTGTGAAACAAAATCTCGTTGGAAAGCGCCATTTATTATATAATAATTAAATACAGGGTCTTCCATAAGTAACTTTCCCATACAAAAGTTGTATAATATTTTTTTATTATATATTTTTAAATTTTTGTTTCAGATTTGTAAAAATTGTTTTTTGAAAATTTATAAAATTTAAGAATTCACAACGGAGCAACGAGTAAATATAATTGAATTTTATTTTCAAAATCAGTTTTTCTAACTCTGTTTTAGTGAGATGTAGTTTTTTCGTCTTAATGAATATGTTTTAATAAACAGAATACCATATTTTGGGATACTGAAAATCCAAAGGTTAGATTATATATTTATCAACGTGAATCGTATCCACAAAAATCACAGTTTGATGTGACGTTATGTTGTAAAAAGCAATTTTACTTTTTTTCTGAGGACTTACTCATTGCTGCGTTGTGAATTTTTCCATTGTAACTTTAAAAAAACAAACTAAAAATCTGGAACAAAAATTTAAAAATATGCAGTAAAAATAAAGTTATACAACTTTTAAATGGTTTAAAGTGACTTATGGTCCACCCTATATTTATACAATGATTTTTGCAATTAAAAGAGGGGGAGAAAATCTTACTGATTTTCGTTAGCTTCTTATTGTATTGTAAAGTACAATGAGTTATATGCTAATATTGCAGCTTTGCTCAAGATAATTTCTGTTTCCCTGATGAATTCGTATTTTCAAAACAATGTTAAGTTATTCATTTCCGGTAAACGCGATGGATTCCGGTCGGCAAGCCAATGATGGAGTCGATTCCCATGGAACCAGGACAAACAACGTAGATATCCGAGCGCGGCCGAGCGCTCATTTCCGTTTTCGAATCCGACGTCACCTACTCTCAAAGCCCGTGTGTTTTGTGTTTCTTTGGGGCCACGATGATTATCGCTAATTTAACGTAAGTATTGTCACGTTTCAGATCACGATCGTTTAAATGATATCAACAAGAATTCGCATGGTATCGTTCGTATAGGAAAACTGGTCACGAAACCGCGCGAATTCCTTGCGTAAGTTTTGCACAACGAACGAAGACTCTCGCCATGCCGGTCTATAAAGCCCCTCTTTCTCGAGCACGTTCAATTAAGCGAGAAATGATGGTGAAAATCATAGCTGGCTATCGTTTGTTAGTGTCGCAACGATCGTCTTGGACCAAATCGATCGACTTAACCGGGGAAAGAAAACTGGACGAGACGGATGGTCACATATAAACAAAATAAATGGCGTCGGCATACTTGTATTCCTGAATATGACAAATTTTTACTTCTCGAGTGTTTTCTTTGATTAAGGGCCACGATCTTGATATTCCTTTTCTCAAATCGGAATAAAATTTAATGTATGAATTCGAAGATTTCTCTGTGGCAATTTCACCAGCCCATACAATCGTTAATCATTGTTTGACTTGTTTTTTGAATTTGCATTTTTTTAAAAGGAAATGTCCCTGTTCCAGCATGTGTGCAGTCTGATATTATAAATAAAATAAATTTTAGAAACTGTATTCCTGGTAGCTTTCGAACAATTTGTTTTTTAGGCCTAAGAATATCATAGAAAGCGGTACTTAGTAGGTGCAAGTAATGAATGATATTTATTTTCCAGGTTGAAATTATTGAAACTCAAATTAGATTTCTTCGTATCTTAAAAATATCCAAAATCGAAAGATAAAAAAATTATTTACTTGTCTAACAAATTAAAGAAGAAAACAAAGAAAAACATAACATTACGTGATTAATCAACCAAGCTTAGTTAATAACTGTAAGTCACTAAGAGAATCTTGAACAAAATGGGCATTCAAGATTTGCAAGTCTTTTTGGATAGCAATTATGTACAAGGTGGATCTGTACCCGTGGATCTGTTAAAAATAGCACGTACCATTACGCAAAGACAACATAATCGCGTTGGTAAAGCACAACAGTTACATTCTGGAAAATTAAGACTAGTCCTTGATGGAGAGTGCTGTTTAGATAGATTATATGGAGGATACTTTTCAGGTATATATAAATCCTTTCTGTACAATTGTTATTACATTAAGTAAAGTACTCAGTGAAATAATTTCTCATACAGATTGGGCTTGTGGAGGACAGTGGAATAGAATGTTGCAATTTTTAGCTGTTCTTATACAAGCAACAGAAATGTCAGGTTTAGAATTAGCTGTATTCTTTAATGGATGTTTCGAATCTCCTAGACGTGCTGACTGGGTTCTAAATCAATTACAAGTACGAATTAAAGTAAATAATGTAAGTGATAGTTTATTGAAACATTTAAAACATTTTGTCAAAATTCATATAATTTAAGACTATATCTTTTCAGGTGTTAAAACATATTTCAACCAAGGGAACTCCACCACCGAAAATTTGGTGGACCCCACCAGTTTGTTTAAGGACTAGTCTACGTATGGCCTTGCGGCATTTAAATGTTACAGTACTATGTAGCATGGACGATCATCATCAAGAAGTAATTGCATATTGTCGAGAGAACAGTTTTAACGGCTTAATTGCTGACGATGCGGAATATGCTGCGTTTGATCCTCCACGATATTTCTCGTCTGAACAGTTAAAACTTACGTACAAAGGCTCTCTCGACACCAAGGAGTACATTCTTCCGGAACTTTTAAAAGCTTTGAACATCCCTTCCGATAGATTATGCTTGTTAGCCGCGTTACTTGGAAATTATATTTTAACTGAGCAAGACTTAACCGATTTTTATAAGAAACTGAATGTCAATACCAACCTAAACAAAGTAAACGTCGAACACACGATTAAAACGATTGCTAATTTTGTTCGGGATTTACCATCTGTTGAATTAGACGTAGTTTCGCAGAAGGTTTTTGGATCTTTGTCAGATCCGAGGTGTTCGAAATTGAGGCAATCAGTTCAGTACTATATAAATGGAACTAAAGACGGATTTTTGCATTATAAACCAGTAAAACCAAATAGAGGTATATTCTTACTTCAATTTACAACTCAATGTAACACTGTTGGCCATAGTTATTTAGGACGCCTATTAGTTGTAACTATCGAAAGATCTATCTAATAAATTTTATTTTATTTAGTATTTTACACAATGAAACATATAATTTTAAACAAATGAAATAATAGATTTATAATATACTATCTAGAAAAAGAAAGCAGTAAAAGGCACGCAATTTGTACTAAATATCTGTTGCTGTCCTAATATTTATGCCTGGCAGTGTATTTTTACTACTATATTTTAATCTCAATAAATTAATTACTTCAGTACACAAGTTGGACCCGAAGCAAAGCGTGCAACAGTCAAATTTATCCGAAACGCCGTCAACTTCGGAAGCCGACTCGAATTTAGAAACTTCAAGATTCGCGTCCGAAACTGTAGAAAGCGAACGCGAGAGTTTAAACGCATATAAGCAAGCTACCGCAAATGCAAAGTCCGCGCCACAAATTGTGATAGATCCACCGGGTATCCAGGGCCATGGAGACGATAATATTAGGACAGAGGAAGAACAAAACAATGGACACGCTATAAATGGTACACACAATCTTCTAATTAGTTCGTCCAGTTCGAGCAGTAGTTCTTCCGCTACGTCTCCATCTCACGCGACAGCTGATTCGTCGAAACAAGCGGAGAAAACGATGACTATTCCCAGCACGGTACCAGAAGTGATGCGTACTGCATCTGAACGACATCAAAAAGGCTTAATGTCTCCTCATATTTATCAAATTCTCATTGCCGGAGAGATCAAACTGCCCGTTCTTCTCGAAGACGAAAATCACCGCGAATTTCCATCGATCCACCTTATTTACAGACCCGTCAGGCAAATGGTATACGCGATACTATTCAATCTTCATCACCGAATGTATTTAGCTGCTAAGAGTAAAGAGAAGGGAGGTAGGTAAATTAATTCTTTTTGGAAATACTTTGGAATGGATTGAGTGTGTACTAAATTATTTTGAATTAATAGATAGTGAAAAAATTGAAGTCCCAGATGTTGTAATAAAGGAGTGGGTATGGTCCAAATCGAATCCATATCTGACTCCAGAACCTGTAAAGGCAGAACAAATTGGTTGGGGCGTTCCTACGATTCAACGTTTATGGTTTGGGTATGTAATTATTTTGTGCCATAATTATCATGTTCACAGTCTGGTATCTCATATATGGGTCAGAATACTCTCGACCTACCGTCGGTTGATCCGATCGTAGTTCAGGAGCGTCTAACATTAAAAAAGATGTGACTCTTGATATAGGGACATTTCGTGTTTAAATTTTTATAATTAATTAATATTAATTATATAAATAATTAAATTATGAATGTTTTATATACAAGGAATAATTTAATTGAATACCATAATTAATTTAACAGAAGTTATTGGGAAAACAAGAATTGTTATAGCTTACATTTTTATGTGTGCTGTTTCTTTAAGCAGCTAATGCAAAGTATATGCATATCGTTTTCTGGGATGTATGGGAAGGAAGTACGTTTTCGGCTTGGACTGTAAACGTGTTATTTTTATTGGAGGATGAGAAGGGAAGTCTACTCGGAATTTTCATTTGCAGCACGGGCATAGATGACAAACGTCGTCGTTTACGAGGATTCCTGACTTGTATGAAATCAGATACACCACTTATGTTGAACACTTCCTATGTACCGCAACACCTTTTAGTCATGGCTTGTGTATTAAGGTAACTTATGATTCTTTTTCCTGTGAAATTTTTTTTTTATTAATCTACTATTCTATGATACATTTACTTTTATTACAGATATATTATGTCGTTTTCGGATAAAATAAAGGTTCTACGTCGTTGGGAATTAGACGCTTTTATTGCACAAGCATTTTCGCCAGAGCTTATGAACGCTCAGTATTTACAAGATCTTCAGGTAACTTGAATAATTTTTTACTAAGTTAATGATAAAAATTATATATTATCTTGAACTTCTTTATATAGCTTCCTTTAGTAACGTCACGCGGAGTCCAATTAGCTACTTTATTCATGGCTGGTGTTGAAACTGCTCTCTTAGCTAACGATGCCTGTGGTGCACCAATTCCATGGTTAATGTGCTGCCCGTGGTTATATTTTGATGGAAAACTATTCCACCATACATTGGCTCGTGCTAGGATTGCGAAAAACTTACTAGAACTCTGTGGTGGTCACATAGATCGTATCGTGAAAGTCGAACGGATGAAAAAAGCTATTTTAGAGGGTACCAACGTTATTTTCGCTCGGGCACCTCCAGTTGGCCCAGGTATATCTTTCAACAAATGCTTTCAATTTCTTAAACCTTACTCTTAAACCTGAGCTATCGTGGCTCAGTGATAAAACATTTGTCTTATAAGCAAGTGTCTTAAGTTCGAATCCTCAGTTTGTCGTTTTTTCCCTTCCAATAATCTTAGCATACCGTGTACATATTTAATGGTATGTTTTCAGAATGGAAGGAAAAAAATATACAGCTGTATTGCTTCGTGGATTTAATATGTCTCGACTTTGTCTGCGAATCTCAAAGCTGTTACATAATTCTTTTATTTACTATGTATTAATTTAATATTTTTCCTTTTACCCAATCATTATTTTTAAATAGGTATTCGCATGTCAGTACCACAGAATATTCTGGCCGCCGGATGTACAATTAACGACGGCTTAATGCGCGGGAGAGGTAACGGAACTATGCCTCAACGTGGATTAATGCGTCGCCCTATACCTTCCCGTGGTGGACAGTTAGAAATTGCCGGGGTTGTTGTTGGACAATGGGGTCCAAACTATGGACAACCTGGTCGCTTACCTCAGCCTCTACAAGGACATCCTCGCGGGCGGCTCCCGCCACAGGTAGGTAGTGTCCTTCTGCACAGTTTGCACAGAGTAAGAGAAAAGTAAGATAACATTTTAATGTGTGAGAGAAAACTATCGGAAATGATAGACCTCTGTTGTGTAGTGGCAACATTGGTCTATAATAAATGAATTGATATAACATAATATTAGCACTATTATAAATTTTTGATTGCTTTATTTTTGCGTTACCTTGTGCTTTTCAAGTAAAAAAGACAGCAATTATGCTTCATAATTAATCTTCAAGAAAATTGGAGCTATCCAGTGTAACGTTTTAAGATGTATGTTTTAGGTGACTTCAATTGGTGGTCTCAAATATGGTCTCCCTCGTGGTTTCACCCCCATGGGCCGGCCCACGTTCCAAACTCGAGGGAACAACCGTACACAAATCGCAGGTCGTGGAAAAAAAACGCAGATGAAGGTAGATAGACATCTTTATTATACAACTTATTTGTTCCATTAAAAAAAAGATAGTGAAAGTGAGTTATTGTGTAGATAACTGGTAAAAAGAAAACTCCAGTTAAGAAGAACAAAGAATGCGAAAACAAAAAAGACAGCAGGGGGCGAGGCAATAACGTTGATGGAATAACTGATTATAAGTGAGTTCATTTTATACTTGCATATGCATAAAATAATCATCTTGAACATCTATGAACATGTTTGTTGATATTGCCAGTGACTCGATTCCAAATATGAACACAATAAAAGACGCACTGCCAGTACCAGGCCAATTTGAGGATGCTGTAGAAAACGGCAAAGGAATAGAAAAAGGGCAGGGCGACGCGTCGCTGGTCGCTCCAGTCGCCGCAGAGAATTAGGTATTTATACATCACATTTATATCGACTTTTAGACACTCCCGGATGTGACTCAAGACTGCAATCAAAAGGATTTTCTTAGAGAAAAAAACAAGTGTGTGTAAACGAGTAATGATGCGCCAATGACATTTGAAAGTTGCATCATAATTATTGCATATGACACAATTACTTTTAATCGTGCAGAAAATTGTTTTTATAAACAAAAAGAAAAAAAGGGGGTTTAGAGTTCTTTTTCATGTACGTTTGCTCTTTAAGGAAAAAGAGGGAAGAGAGAGAGTGTGAAAAAAGATGTATACACAAAATTGCCTTGAATTTTCGCACAATGAGGATGATGAGGAAGACTTTTCAAATGTTACGCGCAGAATCACTCAACAATGTCTAAAGCTCTGATGGGGCCAAACTATTTAAACTAATGTAGAAGAAAAAAAGCATCGTTAACGCGATGTCAAGATATTGTAAAACCACAAGGATGTAGACCCATTTCCGACGTACACGATACGATGTCCTCACTGCCAAACGTACCATTCAGCGTGTAGGATAAGAGCGAAAACGAACATGATTTAAGAAAAAAGAAGAAAATATTTAAAAAAACAATGAAATCGTGCTTGTGCTAACACGAGCGTGCTTTTAGACTATTACTACTCCGCTCGGATCACCATAAGGATGAACTCGACTGATTAGTGTATGCGTGCGCTAATTTTACTAAGAACGAGAACAAGTCGTCAACTGCTATAAGTATTTAATTCTTAAGAAGTGTGATTATTTTTTTTACAATGAAAATATATATTTTCCGGTATTATATGAAATGCTCGCATTGATAGTCTCAGTACTCTGATCTCTAATAATTGTAGGCACAAGACAGAAATCGCATGCTCTAAGACATCACAGACGGACGAATGGACAAAATTTGGACTGGAGTGTATCACGAATAGTTTTACTGAGTTTTGTAGATAACGCGAGGCAGGATACTGAGACATTCATTAGCAAATGGAGACTGATGCTTTTCATATAGGTAAAATATATATTTATATATGATTTAGATTAGAAATTCCCGATAGATTACATATTATATGTAAGTTGTGAATGATTGTGTATGATTATGTGTGCAATAGAGTGCGAGGTGCGTGGAGTCACTGTATGTGAGAGAATTACATAAGCGCGAGAGAATATTGTTTTATTTGTGTGTGTGCTTGCGTGCGTGCGTAAAACGTGCGCTCGTGTGTATGTGTGCGTGTGTGTGTGCACGTGCGTACGTGTGTGGTATGTGTCAGAGAGAAAGAGGGAGAGGGAGAGGGAATATGTTGTAGATGCGTGACTGTGAGAATGACATATAAAGAAACATAAGAAATGTATATAAATGTGGAATGTTAACGCGTGTCCGTTTACGTACACACGCGTGGTACATAAGAAAATGAACGCGCGTGTACGTGAGCGAATTGATATATTTATTTGTTGTTGTGTCGGTGGAGAAACGAATGAATGACTTTTGAACGAATTATAAATTTCCATGTATGATATGTACTCATGGGCACACGGAGGGCTCATTGCGAGAGTAATCGGCTTGAATTTTTATAAAATAGAAAGACGAGGTTCTCTGAAAGAGTTATTCTTGCGGAGGTCTTCCGGTATCGCTTGGGAAATATGCTACACTATGCATTATTCTAATTCTATTACCAGGTTGGATAGTACCTCATTTAATAACATAGAAAGAAAGCAATAACTAGTTGCGCCATAGAGAAGTATCTATCTTTTATGATTCTATTGAAGAATCTAAACGTGTTGTCTTCTTTTTCATTTTTATTTCTTCTTCCTCTTATTCCGGATAAACATTTTAGGTATTGTTGCCTTTTGTAGCATATTTTCGGAAGCATATGTGTCCCTCCTTTAATTGTACATACGAATAATTTAGAAACAACAGCGTAAGGTTGGTGTACATAAAAGAGGAGTCTGGTGGCTTTGCGCTTTTGTCGCGCAAAGAACCGGTTCAAATTAGGAGATCATCATGTTAAAAGAAGAAGATGAAAAATACTATTTATGTGTAGAATAGTCGAAAAGACGTTCTACCAAAGATCATTGGAGTTTGAAGGGTAAGGTGGGTTCTTTTATCAGTAAAGTATGATAATACACATATGACAGAGATACAAGACAGCACGACAGAACACGATTATTTATGGAATGGAATGAAAACATAAACAGAAAGAGTAGGTAAAAATGGCGTGAAGAAAGGATATGCGTCTAAAATGCAGAGGTAATTTAAATTGAGTAAAAGAGCGAACGAAAGCGAGAGAGAAAGCGATTGTGAGAGAGAAAACCATTTATTGAAATAATATAATGAGAGATAAGATAAAAATGTTATATTTTTGTAGATTTGTTATCGCGTAAAAAAATGCATTAAGACAATGAGAAACTTTATATAATTTGAGCGACGGTTGAATTGAGCCTGTGAGAATTAAAGCGAATGACTAAGATCATAGGAAGAAAGTGTATTGTACAGAGAATGAAAAAGAGATTTAAAGGAAAAAAAGCATAGAGGAAAAAATGAAAAAGTGCTTTAGAAGAGACGATAGTATATTGAACATGTTTGACATCCGTGATTTAATAGAAAATCTCATTAATTCTTCTGTGTCTCCGAAGCTCTCAAAGTTCTGAGTTGCTTGCAAACAAAGAAAAAAGCTAAAAAACAAAAAAATATAAAACGTGAAAAATAGGAAGGATATTTAAAAAAAAGAAGAAACTAAATGTCAGCTTCAATATAAGCTATACCAGTGTATGCATATAATAAACAGTTTTCTCAACGCAATTTGAAAAATAGGCTGAAGATTACAAAAAAAAATAATGAAACGAAATAAAAAGTCAAATCCCGTAATGAACGGAATTGTGTAAATTAAAAAAAGCAGAAATGAATATCATTTGATTATCAATTAATAACACGCATTCACACCATCCATTATTTTCCGAGTACGGTATATAATATATAAAATGTGCACCGACGTATAAAAAAAAGAAGAAAATGGTAGAAAAAAAGATCGCCGTATATCTTTCTTGAACAATTTAAAGTTAAAACGACGCCAATCGCTCATGAACGACTAACCAACGTAATAATAATAATGATAATGATAATATTAATAATAATAATAAGGATAATAATGTTAAACTAGAAGCAGAGAGACGTTTCAGATCCGACGGATGAATATTTGAGAGTAAAAATGCCACTTTACGCTTTCGTGTAAAGGTAGATTTTCTTTCTGAGAAATCGATCATCCTGATATATGCAAACCGGAGATTACAAAATATGTAATAAAACAAAGTAAAAAATGAAATGATAAAAAAGACATAATATATATATAACTATATGTATAAAACATGATGGTACACAAACACAATCAGTTGCTGCTGCACTGATATGAGGTAACGCAATAAACATAAGAAGTGAAATAATTTAAATATACTAAATATTGAAGCGAAAGCAAGCAAAACCACGATACGGAATATAAACGAAAAATATGAAAAAACGGAAAAGAGGAAAAATAAAGGATAAATAAAAGGAAGCAAATATATATGAAATCCATATTATTGAAAAAGAAAACAATACAACAGAGCAGAAGTACCGCAAAAATAACAAAATATAATATGTAATGCAAAAGAAAGAAGTGGAAACTTGCGTAAAAACGGCGAATAAAATGATCGACGTAAAAAGAACAGGTGCGCGCCTGACTCGTGCCTGCTTTTTCGTTGTAATATGTAGTAAATGAAAAAAGATGATAAAACACGCAAAATATAGGGGCCCACGAAACAACTTTAACGATAGAGGACGTATCCGTGCGAGAATGTGAACACAATAAGCCAACATATAAAACGAATAAACCTCTCTTTGTGTATTTAGGAAAAAAAAGGAAAAATTCCATTTATAAACTCGATCTTCGAACACTGTGTGTCATTGTGGTAAACAGAAAATTAATTATATTTCGAAGTAAGGCACATCTTTAAACTCTTGCTATAAAACAATGATAACGATGATGATATGATGATGATGATGCTGGAATATTGATGATGATAAATGCTTAATAAATGAGAAACAGTCGAACGAGAATGTAAATTAGGCGACTGTATGTATATTGTTTCTCTTTTTTTGTTTTTTTTTTTTAATCTGTAGAAGAGCACTTTTATTGTAAATGAAAGCGTCAATTTCCAGTGGACTGTTCTCTCTCCTTATTTTCAATCAACATTATAGCTGTATTTTTATTTGATTAAATTTCGATTTTGTGTCGATACAGCAAGTGACTAAACATTCAAAACAGACATGGTTTATCATGTCTTCCATTGTGAAAAAATCATGAAAAACTTTTGCTTCTTCTCTACCTGTTCATTTTTTTTTTTATTGTACGTTCTTTTTTTTTATTATTATTACTCTTTCGTTCTTCGTTTGATTTGTAATCATATTGTAGTAAAGCCTTAGGACTTTTTGCGAAAAATCACACATATATATGTATATGTACATAGGGAAAAAATATAACATAAAAATGGAGCGGATCATTTAATTTCAATGATTTGTTTTAAATGATTGCCACAAAAAAAATCAATGAATAATAAGTTTATGTTATTATTTCACTGTATTTCTGATAGAAGCACGCAACCGATAGGCATTAAAAAAAGAAAAAAAACGTTCAACGTTTTCTTCTGATTTCTTTTCTTCTAATGTATGCTATACTCATAGCTTCGTGTTAATAGAACATCAGGATTTTCGATAGCAACGCAATGAAAAAAAGATTACAATACAGAGTGCCTTCGATGGAAGATCAAAAAAGGCAAGAATGAAGGTGATACTGAGTTGCTATGACAATGCTCGATACATAAATTTTAAGTTTCTCTTTTTACCATAGTTTTTCGCTTGCATACCCTATTAACAAGATATATTAAAAGTACGGTAGCAAATACAGTAAATAAAAAAAGTATTAATAAGGTAAAAAACCAAAAAAAGATGAAGTAACGAATTAAACACTTATCAATGTAGCTGCAAATGTATGTGGGCCCCGTCTTTATATATTCTTATTAAATATTACATAACGTATATTCTGCTATTATTTTTCATAGCTAAAGGAAGCAACAAGAACAATGAAAAAACAATAAGATGATTAAAATACCAAGCGTACACAGAGGGTAATCATTGTATGTTACAATTTATAATCATTGTATGTTTAATTTTTTTTTCTGTTTTACTCTCTTTTTGTTTTTCTACTGCGTAAGAAGACGAGGTAGTCGATGATTAAGTGTATAGCGCATGGCATGATAGAGCAATATTTTGCGAACAAAATGAGGAAAACATTCAGGAAGAATACTTTACGTTTATCCAGACAAAAATGCGAAGAAAACGAGTAAAATTGTACATGCGCTATGATCTTTTGCCAATGGTCGCATTATTTTCAACCTATATGGGTCGCTAGGTGATTACCACATTATTTGCAACAGTAGAAAAATCCTAATTAAATGTAATATATTTATAGTCCTTTTCAAATTATTATTTGTTGGTATAACAGTGTTCAAACTATTGCAGCATAATGATTTAACTGATCTATATAGAAAAGAATTAAGTGAATATTATTTATATGCATTTGCTATAGAAGTTGGAAACAGAATGGTGTGCAAGATTTCTGTATGCAAAAACAGCACGCTGTATTAGTTGGTAATTTATAGATGTGTTTATGGTATTGACAGTATTGCCTAGCCGACTCATTTAGTTGTTGTATTTCTCTATAATACACAGTCAAATCGATGTATTCTTGTTGGATTATTCCATCTTGTAAATTATTGTTGTAACATATACCCCATTCATGTCTAGTGTCAAGCAGAGCTGATTCTATGCTTTTGCTAATTGGAAAACCAGAACAAATAAGTTTTCAAACAAAAGAAAAAAAAAATAAGGAAAAGAAGGAAAAGAAAACAAAGCGCGGATATTTAATTAACCATTCGTATATTTAAAAAGAAATGGAACAAGTTAAAGATTTTCATATTGTTGATTAATTTAGAAACAGGCGTGTGGAAAGTTAATGGCAAATCATAAAAATAAATAAAGGACGGAAGAATCAGTGCTGGCGAAAACACAAGGCAACCAAAAATTATTATAAAGCTAAAAAAAGTCACATTTAAAGTACTTTTAAAGCGGATACATATTTGGAAAGTAGGAGGTAATCATTGTATAAATGTAGTGGCAACTCTATAATACTACAAAACAAAAAAAAATCAATATATTCAACAATTATTCGAAATACTAAATGCAAAATGCACTTTAATGGATGTTGTAACAATTTAGAGTATTCAAATTGCATCGACATTTTACTGTAAATCTGTTTTTTGGAACACGACTGCTCTGCTGACTGAACAAAGGATATTTTTCTTTCTTAAAGAATAAAAATGAATTGAAAAAATCACTTAAAAAGATAATGATTATATATCGGGAAACAAAGAATGATCTTTTTTTCTTTATTCCAACAAGCAGAGAAGTTTCTCCAATGACAGATATCTTAAGTTTGTTTCTTTTGAAGAAAAAAAAATATATATATTTATCTTCGTTTTTTCTTGTATAAATGCAATTACACGACACACATGCAAAGTAGAGAGAACGGCAATGGTTCATAGAGATTCTCTGTTCATTTGAAGAGGAAAATAATGAAAGCTTTGCAGGACACACTGCACGGTTCGAAATAAAGGAAACAAACTTTCAATGAGGTTTTATAAAGAAAGCTTGTTCGAATGAGAGGTTCTCGGAGATGGTTGGCTGACATTTTCGGAAGTTTAATGATTTATTAAAACGTGTTGTCATGTCTTGAATACAATTAAAAGAACTATAAAAGAAAAGAAAAAGATAATTTTGTGAGTTCATCTTCCATTTTATGTCCATGTTTTTTCGTCACAATGTGTTATTCAGTTTATTCAATTTAATTTTATATTACTTCCCAAATTAATACTTTGTTATCTTATAAAAACGTAAATTGTAATAAGAATTATTAAAAATATTATTTGATAGTTTCTTAAGTACCAGCTTAATTAAACGAAATGGAATGAATGATTAACAACGGATCGTCATTATTTGTTGCATATTTATTCCGATTTCAAAATTTTTTCAAATATGACTATAAATTTTATTAGTTTTATTTAGTATCATAAAGTGGTATGATTTACAGGATATATGTACAGCTGGTTTTTGTACTTCTCAATATCAGTGATGTGCACCAAAGATTTGTCAGTCTCTTCTGTGATAGGAACATAATTCAATGAATACTTTACCTTCCCATATTTCTCTACTTTTGTGTCTCTTTTAGCCGAATCGGCTGCAAAAAAATCGATAACGTTTTCATTTAATAGTATAATATATAGTACAATACAAAATCAGTGCACTTACAATTGACTGCATTTGCTGATGTTTCAACACCTTTGTTATTCTCTGTATCAGATGATTTAGCAGTTCCCACTACATGCACGCTTAATTTTCTGAAATTGCTGCCATTAAATGTGTGAGACTTCATCCATTCCCTCAATTCGTCAATCTTGATATATTCGATCACACTCAATTCCTTTTCTATTCTATCAAACATGTAATCGCCACTTTCAATTTCTGACCAGTTCCTATCAACCTCTTCTTTCAAATGTATATCCGCACACCGTTTTAATTTTATCACTGTTTCCTTAACGCCGTCTAACTCCTTTTCCGACATCTCTTTCAAAATATTATTAAACATCGTCAAAAATGCTTCTATCCTATTATCCACGTATTCGGTGCTGTATTTGTCTGCCTGAGTGTACACTGTGACAGTATAACCGAGGATACCAAAGGTATCCCTTAATAGACAGAAGACATTGTAACCAAGTTGCTCCAGTGTTCTAAGTTGATTAAAAACAGGCTCCTCCATAATCGTCTAAGTTAAAATTAATAGAAATATTTATTACTCATTGTACAATAAATTTAAAGTAATATAATTTAAACTTGTACTTACAATTAATAGTTCGATAATAACTAACAATCTAATAGATGAGACATCGGATTGATAGTAATTCATTACAACAGAATTTATATCGATGCTATTGAAGTTCCTTACTTTACAATAATGTGAACCAATTGGTATTTGCGCCACCCTCACATGTGGCATAGTATTAGGCAACAATGATCCACACTTCAGTGCCTTTACACATTCTTGAATGTTTTTTATTACATCTTCTTTTGTCATGTTTCCTTGTACCAAAGATTGAATATAAATGTGATCAGTAAAGTGTTGAACAAAATTTTGAAATTCAGAAAATTCCACATTCTGAATGGCAGCGTGCTTGTCCGCGGCCGTCCAATAGACGAGCATTAGAATTGATAATCTTACATCTCTGAAACAATTATGAAAAAAATGTAGAACATCTTAAATTTATTGTTTGTAGTTTTGTGAGAATCATTACCTACCGAACTAAGCTTTTGGGTTTTACTAAGTTATTATAATATTCCTTAGTTTGTTCTTCCTTCATTACTTCGAAAAACTCTTTAGTTATTAATGTCGGAATATCAGCTATACACTTCGCAATAGTCATTAACAAAAGCTACAAATAAAAATAAAAAAGTACTAAATCAGAATAGTAACTATCCGGAAAAAATTATTATAAGTAGACTGTAAAATTTTACGCAATTATCAGTAAATTTAAAGATACAAAAATGCATAGAATTCACATAATATTAAAGAACAGATAAAATATCCAAAGTGTAGTATTCTTTATAATATTTAATAGGTAAATCAAATTTCTACCTAGGTCCTACTTTTTTAATTGTATTCATAAAAATATGAATTTGTATACAAATCCACAGTCTAATTATAAGTATCCTTACTGGTAACTTCTGATTGAATCCATTCATTTTAAGCATAATACCCTTTTCGTTCGTGTAAATAGCATGGTTTAATTCAGCAATCGTGGCTGGATACAATGTTTCCACTAACAGTTGCTTCAATATAGCAACAAATAGATCCATTATGACTATGCTAAAATTTTAATTATTTCTGTAAAAAGATCATGCTTCTTTCATAAAGATTCCAAATATTTACCCTTTCAGTGAACAAACAGCCATTGGTGATATGATACAAAAATACATATAACATTCAGGCAAGCCGAACTTTGGATCAGGTCGGTACCAAACTTCTATTATCTCATCTGAATAGATTTTTGTGGGGTACTTGGGTACACCAGGTGGTATCGAGATTAAACTGAAATCATCCGTGATATACATATTGGGTAATGGTAAATGAAATTCAGGCAAAGGCTTCATAGTCTTCCAGCACTCTATCCATTCTTGAGGAATCTCCATATTTGTATATTTAGTTTTGAACCAAGGTTCCACTTTATCGAATTCTTCATCATTGAATTTTTTATCAAGTATTATAATATTCACATCATTAGGTGTTAAATAATTTAAACAGGTTTGTATAGCTTCTGCATTATATTCAAAATACAATTCGCTGCCAGTAATATAATCACGAGGAGGATAATAATGCATGTTTTCGCACAAATCTTCCACATATTCTGCTGGTGGAAACTCATCTGTAAATCTATAAGGAAACCTTATCTATTAGTCATTCTAATTATTATATTAACAATCATTGATCACTTTAATGCACCTAAAATTCATTTCCTTAATTTGGTGGATCTCATCATAAATTCGTTTTTGCGGGCCTTCTTTTCGCATTAAATTAATAAATGAGAATGTGGCGTTTAATACTTCCGGTAGGTGTTTATGTCCTTGCTCCGTCAACATCAAAGACAAACTAAACAACCCGTACATCGAATTGTGTTCGAAGCCCCTTTCTGCATTTCCACTGAAAATCCCAAGACACCACATCTTTTCCCTTAAGTAACTAATCAAAGAACCTTTTCCTTCGTATCCCATGATCCAGGAAATATACTGATGCGGCTTGCTTTTATACATATCATGAAGAGGAGGCATGCACCATGTCAACTCTACCTACGAACAAAATAAAATGTAATCGCCATTACTAGACTGCGAATTTTTATGCATTTTTGTATTTTTATGAATGTAACTAAATAAAAAGGAATTTAAATAGCTTGCTTTATCTACTAAATATTATTAATCACAAATACTATTTTGGACATTTCATATGTTTTTGCATATTATATGCATTGTGTATATTTTTACACGTTCAAATTTTCTATAAACGCATAAAAATCCACAGTCTAGTTATCACTTCTAAAATTATGAAGACATACTTGACAAACATCTTTTATAGGTTTGATTTTATAAATTCTTCTAAAACTTGGTGTATTAAACGAATCTGTGCCCTTAAAGGGAGTAAAGTCGTCAGGTGATAAGCCATTACTTGGTACATTTGCAAAGCATTGTATTACATAGTCTTCTAGCACATCCAGTGGAAGTCTGGCCTGCAAATCAATTTTGTAAGTTAATATTATTTCTTCTGAGAGCGAATTCCGATTTAGTAAAATAAAAGACTAACTTGTATGGCAAGTTTCATTCTGTGAGCACTGTAGTGACGCTCCCTGAACTTATGCAATTCCTCATAAAGTTTTTCATCAGTTACATTATCTCGTAATGTAATTAAATTACCCCAACAAAACTTTGTAGCTGGATGATTTGGCTGCGCAAAGCTACTAAATAATTGTTCTTTTCTACAATAGTCAGAGGGTAAGGCCATCTGAAACTCTATATGGTTTATTTAATCTTATTATACTAACTAAATTAATTAAATTTCATTATGTTTTGCATTTTCAAAATATACCGCTTTCTATGGATTCACGTTCTCTCGTTATAGCGTCCTTCCTCATTAAAGGTTTAATAAAAAATTGAGCAAAACGATCAAGGGCAGCTAAAAGATGCTTTTCTTGTATTTCAAAATAGAATGTTGTTGATTCACAATCAGTGGAGGCATTGTCTGATCCACCTCTTTTTTTAATAAACATATCAAAATCGTTTTCCTGTTAATATACATGGAAATTAAATAAAACTTCAGGAGATATAAGATTCTTTTTCGAAATGGGTACCTCAGTATATTTCTCTGATCCCATAAAAATCATATGCTCCAAAAAATGTGCCAGACCTGGAATTTCTGGTGGATCACTGAAGCTTCCTACACCCACAGTTAATCCACATGCTGCCTGTGTAAGAAATATGCGTAGCAGCACACTAAGAATATTAATAATTCATATTTTTTTTAAATTGATTAAGCATCATATGGTGTATCGTAATAAAAGATACCATTTTTTCTTCTGCTTTTACTGGTTTGGGGCAAGCACATGAATCAGCATCTTTGTCATCATCTGATGGATTATCCTCTGTATCACTCTCTTCTGTACTTTCTTCTTCTTCATCCTCTTCACTTTCAGTCTCTTCATCTTCATCTCCTTTTTCATTTTCAATATTTATTGCATCCTCTGATAAGTTCCAAATATTTATACTTTTATAAATTAGTGAATTGAAATAATAACATAAAAACAAATTAGTGAAAGGAAAGTGCTAACATAAATAAAGTTTTCTTTTGAATACACATATATTTGTTTTCTTTACCTTTATCAGTGCACTCATCATCTTGGGTACAAAAGGAGTGTAGGTCAGCAATTAGCAAAGCAGTCAAGCCATTTTCCAATTTGATCACTCTATAACATTCAAGAAAAGTAAAACAAATATTCAACAGAATGTACCATCTATTTTTACTACTATTTTTTGTTTTTTACCTGTACTCTTTCTTGTCGTTCTCCGACTTAACAGGCGTTTCTAAATATGTAACTTTCTCTCGTGGTTGTTTTGAAACGCAAATGGAGATTTCCTGTGTTTGATTTTCTGTTTGCATTTTGCCAATGACCATTATGTCCGTATTGAGGTTATGTTCGGTAGGGATATTGGAGTTTTGTATCGAATTAATCGAGCCTTGATTCGGTTTCAGTTTTTTTTCAGGAGGACTTTGTATTGACCTTGTTGGCATTATCGTTGTGTCAGGTTGTATATTAACTTTACATTGGAGAACCTTTGTGAAAAGGTGTCTCCAAAACCGTATCACCATACGTGATTGAGCAATCTGTTTCCAGTTATCTAGTTATCTAATTCCACCTTCATCTGTTTCTATTATACTCCATCATATCAAATTTCTTAAAATATGTATAGTCTTTTCTTATTATATTCTTATTTATAATGTTATGTAAATATAATATTTACAATCATCTTTTTTGTTAAATCTTTCGTTTCCTATATAAAGTACGCATTAGTAATTTATATTTCCTTTTTTGCAATACCCTTTACAGGAATAACTTGATCTACGATTTAAAACTAAAAGTAACCGCTGAAATATAGAACTATCTAAAATTCAATTTACACTTTCTACAATCCAAAATGATTTTACAATAATCTAGAATGAATTGCAAATGTTAATCTAAAAAACGTCAAGTCACAGTCTTATTGGCAACATTTTGTATCGAAGATACACTTATTTAAATTCAAAAACAACTTAGAAAATTCAACTATAGGCACTTTATTAAATCAATTGTTTTATTTAATAAATAAAAAGAATAAAGAAAAGGAACTTTTTATTTTTCACTTCAAGTTAGACAATGTACATATGTATATAGATAAAAAATATGCGCACAATAGATTTAGCCTAATAGTGACAACATTTTTTCTTTTCTTTAATTTTTTCAATGCATCAGCTGATTGTTAGTTATGCCTAGTAGTTTTAACCACTATAACAGTGTGTCATGGAGTAATAAGTAATTAACGACTATATGTAGTAAGGAATCAATGTTAACATATGTAGAAAAAGTAATAGTATGAATGGATTTTTTCAAATTCGTGAGCTTTTTATACCGACCTCGCGTAAAGAGGTTATGAACCAATCAGAATCATTCCAACACCGCCGAATATTGGCGGCGCTATACGGAGTTGTCCGAAAGCAACCGCCTATTGGTAATTCGAAAGCGAACGATAAAACTCTGTGCTATACCATGACCTATAAAGTTCTTGGTCATTATTTTCATATAAGAAGAATCGTTTTATTTTATGAATTTTAGTAGATATAATCTCATAAACTTAAATACATACTGTACATATATAATATACTAACAGAAGAATATAGTACTATAAAAGCATTTCTGTAAAAATGCTATATAGCTATGTAACTATATATGTTGAAATATCCCTGTAATCTTTTCTTTGATAAAAAGAATATCTTCAAAAAAAAGTATTTTTATAGCTATTGAAAAAACATAATCATACTATAAAACTTACTATAACTGCAAGATATTCTACAAAATTTATTTTATTGAAAGTAGCTTTTAACTGAAATATTATTAATCATATCAACATCAATTTTGTTACAACATAAATTATTAGATGTAGAAATAAATTAAATAATCATAATTAGATTGTTGATTTTCATTCACATTCATATTTTTGAGTACATAATTAAAAAGATAAAATCTTTATAGAACATTATTTTATCTACCAAGTATTACAGGAAACATTATACTTTAGATATTTTATTTATTTTTTTATATAATGTGTATTAAATAACCTTTTATATTTCAAACAACTATTTCTCTTTTGTTAAAGATTTAAGAATGTAAAGTAAACGATAATTTATAGGAAATAAAAATACAATTTTTAATATATTTATATGGTATTACGACTGAAAACAGATCCAAATATGTATGTGTGTATACTATGTATGCATATTAAATCCAATACGATTTTTGAAGGTTTTTTATCAACTCGCTAGGTGGAACCGACAAGGTATTTTGTCTTCTATCATGTATTTTAACTTGCTCGAAAATATAAATAAATAATGCTAAAAAACGAAAAATTAATTATATTCGATTGAACTATTAAATATCTTAGTTTGCTTGACAATAAATTATCATCTGAAATAATTTATCTAGTAACTGTAACTCAACTCCATTTTTTAACCTATAAATACCGAAATTATTGCAGAGAAATGGCAAGGGAACCGGATGAAGAGTTAAGGAAAGCGTTCTCGCAATTGCATGAGAAAATGATTGATACCACGCAAAAATTGAAATTAGCAGATTTGCAAATTGACAAATTGAAACGATCTAAACAATTTGCCGAGCTGACAATGAAAGAGATAACCTCTTATCCTGAGAACACAAAGACGTACGAATCAGTCGGCAGGATGTTCCTTTTGGATGACATAGATAGCATAAAGGCCGGTCTCAAGAAACGAATGAAAAATGCTGATGAAAAAGTGAAGACTTTAGAAAATAATAAAACGTATTTACAACAGAACTTAAAAGAATGTGAAAACAACATTAGGGAAATGATCCAACAAAGACAGAATAAAGACACGTCTGGTTAAAAATATGCTTTGTACCTTTTTACCAAAATTATTGTCGTATTATTTGCGTTAGAAAAGCTTCATATGTTAGTTTTTTATTACTATTGTTCACTATATCATTGCATTTTTGAACTTATGCATAAAATTATGTTTCATTTTCAACGTATATAAATTATGAACAAAACAATTATACAATTTGAAATATGTAATTATGATTAATTGTTCTATTATATTTATGAACTTTACAGCGTTTTGTAACCTTTATTTATTGTCTATATGCTAATTAATAAAACTTTTTATTATAACTTTTAATATGTTTAAAAATTTAAGAACCTACAAAAAGATACATCAAGTACTAATGTGGTTTCTAATTATTAATTTATTCCAGCAGAATTAATACATACAACAAACGATATTCCGTGATTCGGCTTATATCTTTAATTCACTTTATACTCGTTCATTCCTCTCGCTCGTTTTCCTTTCATTCATCTTCATAGTCTCGTTCAGAATTTCTTAGCTAAATCCTAAATTACCCTTAAAATCTTATATGCCAACGCAGTAATTTGGCAGATCAATTACTCAGAAATTAAAATGCTTTAATATATCTCAAACTTGGGATAGTAAAAATTGAACAGTATGTTTACTCAAGACTTTTTAATGTATTTGTGTTTCATAATTATATTTATAGTCGTTCCTTATTCTTCCTTTTTTTTTTTTACTAATATAATGCATGGGATGTGACGTGCTTTCTGACCTTATACGCAAGTGCTATTAATATGTACGTGTATATGTATTTTAGTATATGTAGTGCAGTAAAATGTAACTCGACAAGTATGTACAAAGTATATTTATCAAACAATCACGGTATTATCAAATTCAAATCTAAGTCATATTTTTATAGTCACCGGCGTGACGTTTTAATAAAACTGTCGATTCCTACAGAGTCGAATTACGTATTTATTACGTAGAGTTGTATCACCGTGTATATTATAATATTTAAGTATCAAACAGACTTTGTGTCTCTGTTCTCTGCAACGTGGTACTTACACAATACGATATATCTGCTTCTTTAAAAAATTTAAACTGAAAGATTGACGATTAAAGCATGCACGTGTAAAGAATCTTGCTTATTCAGTATGAAAAACCCATGCATTACAATAGCATGTAAAATCGTGTAAGAAATGAAATCTCCTGAATACATCACGTGAATGTCAGTCTTAACTAAGGTGATTGCCATTGTTCGTCGTATTTATGGTACTCTTATATGACGATACTCTGTGTATTCAGTATGCAATCCTAACTGAAATCCCTGAATTCACAAATACACATATGGGGCGGGGATAGGCTTCCAACTAATTAAGTCTTTCCGGCATCCATTAGGAAAATATTGATGCAAAAAGAAATTGCGAATAAATTACGCCGAACGATTAATCGCTCGAATTAATTAGCGTACCTTATGTTTAAACTGCATAAATTTATGTAAATCTATATTGGTTTCTTAAATAAGTTGTTATTTTTGTTTCTATTAAGTAAAACGTACTTATCGTTACGATACGATACACACGCCGGTCGATGAAGAAATATAAATCATGCTCTTAATTAGCTTAAGAAAATAATTTATGCCGCTTTCTACAAGGACCGTATATGTATAAATACAAAAACATGATAATCTTGATGCTAAACGCCGAATGTACACATAATAAATACAGCAATAATGTAATTTAGATGTAACGTATTACGTCTATGTGTATGCGTGTGTGTGTCTGTCTTCGTTACTTCGTCAAATCGTAGAGCATCTCCTCTTCTAATAAAATTCAGCTAGAAATCGTAATTTACGAAAAATAATACAGCGCGCATGGACCTCGTCGAGAGGTAGTGTTGACCTGCGCTATTACAAGTTTTCGATTGAGCCACTGTTTATCAACCATTTACTATTCAAGCTGCAATATAAATTATTTTTGTAACAATCATTATATCTAGAAATCCGATATTTACATTTTAGCAATCTGAAAGTTATTGCGAACCTGTGAATCCCTGTGGTGGTTGACCTGGTACTGAGTATTGTGGTCTAAAATTTCCGAAATTAGCCGCACCAGCGAATGTAGCCGGCAGTTGTCCACCGGAGAAACCGGCCGGGAACTGTTGTGCTAACAGCGCTGCTTGGCCCGATTGAGAACTACTACCACCTGGTGCGGTTGCTGCCAATCGACTCAATATCGACCTCTCTGACATTTGAAGTCTTTGAGCAACAGGTGGAATGCGAGCTAATGTTGCTGGCAAACGACTCACGTCAGATTTCATGTCAGACAACAGTTCTTCCAATTGATTTAGTACCTGCAATGAAACAATGTATAAAGAGGAATTACTGAAAGAAGACGATTATTTTCTATCCATAGAAATATATTTACTTTATGCAACACAGCATTTGCTGGTTTATTTCCGGCAAGGCTTTCTTTACTAAGATGTTGATGTGATTCTGCAAGGCACTCGACTTCGGCAAATCTTGCATTCAGGCTCATCGCAGGATGATTAGGATCCTGCGTTAAGTTCAGGTACGCGGCTCTTCTCAATTGTTCTTCTATCACTAATGCCTGTTCCAACAGTTTGAAACGTCGAGCTAGGAATTTGTTTTTTATTTCTAAAAAGTTACCCTTGCCCACGTCCATCTTAAATGGTTCATTTATTATTGCAAACCTGCAAAATAATATTAAAATAACACGTTTATAGTAAGCATATATTTTCCTATTATTGTTTATTTGTTACCTAATATCATTTTGGATATCCTGCCAACGACCATAGCCATGTGTAACAATGCCGGCCAGTAACCAATAGTCATGTCTTCTATGCCAGATTTCGTATTCACGGCCAGGTACTGCAGCTTTCTCTTCATTTAACCATAATGTGTGTAATTCAGTGAAACCACCATCAGCTATATTGAACATGAACTTGCGCTTGGGCTTTATCGTTTCTGAATCACAGTCCTTTATGTCCTTATCTTTATTATCTTTCTCCTGTAATATTAATATTCTCAATGTAATATTAGAAATCTTATTAATTGTTTCAAATAAATTACACTGATTTAACATCGAACTAGCAAGTACCTCTCGCTTTTCTGTTTCTTCTTCATCGTCTTTAACGATAACTACATCTTCCTCGGAATCTTGTTTTGTTTTGCTCTCAGAGTTGTCTACTTTTTCGTCGTGTTTCGTCACTAATTTTTCGTCTGTAGTATCTACTTTATCCTTCTCTTTATCCTGTGTTTCTCCCTCTGTATCCTTCTCTTCTTTCTTGATGTCCTCCTTGTCTTTATCTTTTTCCGTATTATTCTCTTCCTCTTCTTTAGATTCTTTTGATTCTTCCACATCCTTCGCATCAACACTCTGTAAAATAATTCTTCCTTTACTACAAATTCATTTGGAATTATTTAAGTTTTTACGATCGACTATACTAACTTCTTTGTCCTTGGGTACTTCTTTACATTCTTTTACTTCAGACGCGTCTGAATTTGACTTGTTGGAGTCAGTATTCGCACTTCCAGGAATAGCAGTTGGCGTTGGAGTTGCAGCAGGACTCGGGCTAGGTGCATTAGAAGTAGCTGGTGTTGCACTGGTACTGCTAGTTCCAGTTGCTCCTTCTCCACCACCTTCTATTTTCACAGGTTCTACCGGTTTGCGAATCATTTCTGGCATCGAGTAATATCCGTTTATGTGTTCGAATTCTTGCACCTATTACATAAAACAAAACATTATTAGAAGAAAGGAAAAGAAGAAAATAAAAAATCAACTGAAGAGTGTTTTACCTTTTTCCTTATTAAAGACATTACACCAATTCTTGTTAAAACGTGTTGTCTGCTAAGACCTTCTCTCGGGACACCATCGGCAAAAGTTTCGGCATTATCTGCACCAGGTTCACACAAATGTCGCATGAAAAGGGAAACGTAGGCCTTGAAATTCTTCTCCGACTTGCCTCTCAGGTCTCGTACCAACCTGAAATGCGACAATATACTTTAACAGTACTTTAAATTTACTGATTGCGGAATACATTTCGAGCGAGTAACTAACCACTGAGAGTTAAACGCGTCCTGTGGTGGCATACCGTAACGCATAATCGCGTTCAGGAATGCTTTCCTTTGTCTGGCATTGAAGCCTAGTACCTGGATTTAAAAAACCATATTATAGTATGTATCTTTCATTAATTTTTAAATATAAGAAAAATTATGTAAACCTACTTCAATGTTTCCATTAACCCTGGCAAGCAATGGAGGAAGAGGTCGATCCTTTTCGTCTCTCCTCTCTAATCTTCGCCTGCTTCTGCGAGATAACAGGTCACCATCACCCTTTTCGTCAAAGTCGTCGTCTTCTTTATCGTCATCGCTAGGAGCACTAAAATCACTGTTGTAATCAGAAAGATTCTCCTGCCATGGTTGATCATCCCTTGTACTTTGGTCTCCAGTTACTCCTCCATCATTATAGTTCACTTGCTTACGTATTCGTTTACCTAAAAATAATTATTACTTTGTAATGACAAGAGAGAGACGGAGAGAAGTATTTACAGGCAAAGAAATAAATTATATATACCTTTTCCAAGTGTTCTGGCAATATCTTCTTGTTGTTGTTCATAATGATGTCTCAATAATTTGATCCAATAAGCTGGATCTGTGTTCTCAGCTTCCTGTTTAATAATCTCAGTGTCTGCTTCTTCTTCCGTTTCACCTTCCTTTGTTACGTACGATGCTACTTTAAACGAACTTAGATACTCGTTGGCCCAGTTTTCTTTCTGTTCGATACCTTCCTTGCTTCTGTCTAACAATTCAGCCACAGCTTTGTCATCATAATGAATGGCTTCATCCTCTTTGCCTTCCTCCTCTTTGAACAATTCCTCAGTACCTAATACGAATTGAAATTATAGACAAGTTCCATAATTTTAAATCCTATTTTATAATCTTTATTTCAACGACATTACCGAATCGTAAAATGTCGTCAAGTTCTTGTTTACTGAAATTGGCGCCTTTACCACCCATTCCAGGTCTCACAACTAAATGTGTTAACATCATTTTACGCTTCGCCACTTGTGTAACTCGTTCTTCGACAGAGTTGCGAGTTACAAATCTGTAGATCATGACTTTATTAGCTTGGCCAATTCTATGTGCTCTACTAAATGCCTGAATGTCGTTGTGTGGATTCCAGTCGGAATCGTAAATGATCACAGTGTCGGCAGTAGCCAAGTTTATACCCAAACCACCGGCCCGAGTAGAAAGTAGAAAAACAAACTGTTGCGCGCCTGGTAAAAAAATTGATTAATTTTCCGTTGATGATTCGTTAAAGATACAATAAAACTATCTACTCACCAGGTGCATTAAATCTGTCAATGGCTTCCTGTCGTTGAGCACCAGTAATGTTACCGTCTATTCTTTCATACTTATAACCCTCTCCTTCTAAATAATCTTCGAGAATGTCCAACATTTTTGTCATTTGAGAAAAGATTAAGACTCTATGTCCATCATCCCTTAATTTCTTTAACATTTTGCTCAATAAAACCAATTTTCCTGCTGCTTTGATTAATGCAGACGTTTCGTAACTTCCGTTTGGTGCGGTTGGTGCTTCCTGAGACGCGGCTGGAAATAAATAAGGATGGTTGCAGCACTTTTTAAGATCCATCATGATATTCAATAGCGACACTTGTTGACCTCCCCCCTTGGGATTCAGCGCCTCGAAGTTCCTCGTCAATATATATTTATAATATTTCTTTTGCATAGGCGATAATTCGACACGGACGATGAATTCTGATTTACTCGGCATATTCTATAAATAAAGATGATTAGTATAACTCACATATTGAATTTATGAAAAAAAGTATATAATAAATACCTTTAATACATCAGCCTTTAATCTCCTCAACATGTGTGGTCCGAGTAGTTCATGCAACTTCTTCACTTGTTCTTCTTTTGAAATATCAGCGAATTCATTTTGGAACGCAGCTAAGTCATTGAATTTATCACGACAGAGGAAATTCAAAAGATGGAACAATTCCTCCAAGTTATTTTGCAGAGGAGTTCCAGTTAACAATAATTTATACGCGATATTATAGGACGCTAATAGTCTAAAAAATTTCGACTGGTTAGATTTGAGTCTATGCGCTTCGTCTACTACTAATACAGCCCAATCTATCGATCCTAAACACGCAGAATCAATTGAGATCAGCTCGTAACTGGTAAGAAGTACATTGAACTTAATTTGATTCGATCGGATCTTCGATGCTCGGCCACCACGAACAGCACCCTCTTCGAAAGACAATTCATTCTCACGAATTACGATACGACTGTCCTTGTCACCTGAAATATACAAATATATTAATATAAAATATTAATTAGCAATGAAACAAATCAATAAACGCATTTTCATTAATTAAGTTCATATACACGTACGTACCAACGTAAGTAACACAATAAAAATCAGGTGCCCAGGTTTCAAATTCACGTTCCCAGTTAATGATAGTTGATAGAGGAACAGATACAAGGAACGGTCCCTTGCAGTGACCTTCTTTGTATAATGAATACAGAAAGGTGATAGTTTGGATGGTTTTTCCTAAACCCATCTCGTCCGCTAAAATAGTGTCTATACCTTGGCCCCATGAATATCTTAACCAATTCAAACCCTACAAAATTATGAAATTATAAAAAGCTCATTAAGGAATAAGTAATGTAATGAAGACAAGATATATACTTCTAACTGATAAGGATGTAACTGCATTCCAGTCTGATCCAGATATTCTGGCTGCCGTTCATACTTTTTCTTTAGATCTGTGGTAGGTTTGTCAGGTGGAGGAGTATACCTCTTAGGCGTTCTTTCTTCGTCATCGATGAGTTCACGAGTCTTCGATTTCTTGCCTTTACCTGAATATAATGTATGTGTCCATTTCGCAGCTCATAATAATGATTGTAAAAAGAAAAAATAAATTAACCGACTCTTCTCACCCTTCTTGCCCTTGCGAGACGAACTACCATCACAACAGTTTGCAGCTCTGAGATCCAAGTAATATTCGATAGCTTGCTTTAATCCAGGAATATCTTCATGCTCATCTTCCCAAGTTGCCTGATCGTATCCTAATTCCCTCCATTTAACGAGATACGTCGCTCTACCATCTCTTGAAAGCCTATGATTAATTACTCGATGCACTACAAGCCACTCTGGTCGAACTCCGTAACGATAGAATCGTTCCTCTAAATTGTATTCATCCCTATTAGTTGCAACGTCCTGTTCTTTTAAACGTTTCACTCGGGAATCGCTTTCGTCTAACGGTTCCTCCAACTTCGGTGGTTCGTCCATATCATATTTTCGTGAATAATTTCTAAAGATCACAGTAAAATTTTAAACAATCATAAAAAAAGGATTAAGCATATCATTATTGAATAAGTGCCATACCTAAACATGAGAGGATGGAAAACGTCAAGCTGTAATTCTGTGATCCAATCGCAATGCCAATAAGACATATCAGCCCATTTCACGAAGAATTCGCGTATTCTACGTTGCTTAGGAGCAGCTTTACTTGTTGACGGCTCCTCCGAGGGTGTTTCTGGGCATTCCTTCCACCTCCATGTTAAGATCTTTGCAACTATCACATAAAAGATTAAATATTAGTTATGAGTATGTGATGTATAATTCTTTGTCTTAATCATACAGTACCTTTTCCACGTATAGGTGGACAAGAACATCTGGGACACTTCCAGTCGCCATCAGGAATTTCTGAAAGTGGTGGGTTCAAACAATGTGTATGGTACGCGCTAGTACAGCTATCACAGCATAGCAATTCACCACCATCTTTACATATTCTACAAAATTCCATATGCTCATCATCGTCTTCAGCTGCACCTGAAAACAGAATTAATAATCCACGATTCGTTTTGATAGTTGAATACACATCAGCGTGTTGGGGAGGATGAAAGGTTTGGGGTTACAAGGAAGGTACCTGCAATACCTTCTCCTTCACAATGAGGACAACTCCATTTTCCTTCCGGAGTTTCTTCTAATTCAGGCTCTAGACACACCAAGTGATAAGCTCTAGGACATGTATCACATAGAATAATTTCTCCACCTTGTTGACATACTTCACAATAATCCTGATGATCAGTCTGCATAAAAAGATATAAATATCATAAAAAAATTCAAAAGTTTCATTGACATAGAAAATATAACCAGTATTAATCAAAAGCAATCTAATTATACCTGAAGACCTTCTTCTCCGTCTGGAAACTTTGACGTGGTTTTTGTCTTTTTCTTCTTCTTAGTCTTATTTCCGATTTTGGTCTTTGCCTTCCTGCGAACAGGTGGTTCTGCTGGTGGTTCAACCCCGCTTTCTTCAGCGTTTCCTTTGTTCGTCCCATCCGCACCAGTAGGTTCCTCCGCATCTGCCAACATTTGCTCGAATTCCATGTCTGAATCTCTGTCAGTACCAACGCCACTACCCTCTGCTTCTTCATCCGAGCTTCCTCGTTTGCGCTTTCCAAGTTTGATCTTGAGTGTTGGTACTTTCGAAGCTTTCTTTCCCTTCTTCGCTCTCGATCCTCGCGATTTCCGTTTTCTATCACTATCTTCGTCATCGTCTTCTTCATCTTCGCCTTCCTGGACTGCACCACTACGATTTGCCCTTGCATTTCTACTATCTTCATCTACATTTGCAGAAGACACATCCGCATCTGGCTGTGTGTGAGGATTTAACTCAGAAAAATCACGCCATTTGGCAGCCACTAACATCATAAGCTTCGACATTGGAACCTAAAAATAAGCATAACATAAAATATCAGAAGTAAATAAAATATCGAAAAAATAATCGCTTGAGCTCATTGCTTTTACGAAAAATTTACTTTTGGATTCTCTTTTGCTAGTAGCGGCCTGACATGTTGTTGAAATAATTTATAGGTAGTTAAATTCTGGAAGTCTGCATCAGTATATTCAATTTGTACATCTGTTAACCCAAAAGTATTACAGACTTCCTCAATTGTAGGCATTCCTGTTGTAGGTTCCTGGCTAGGAGGAGCAGGTGCATTGTGACTAGACGATTTCCTGGAGGAAGATTTTCTACTTTTTCTATTTCCAGCGTAGTCACTATCATCACCAGCTACATCACCAGTTTCACCGCCTCCTCCAAAATCACTTTCCTGCGTAAAGAAAACATTTAAGTTATTTTTATCAGTAAATTAATTATGTTTTAGGAAATAAAATAAAAGTAATTACATCTCCAGAATCAGATTTTTTCTTTTTCTTCTTTTTCTTCCCTTTCTTATCTTCACTACGAGCTTTTCGTTTTTTTCCTTTCTTCTTCTTTCTTTCCTCTGGTTCATAATCATCATCTTCTTCCTGCATAAAAAAATATATTTCAAATAATGTTCATAGTTTAATCAATGTTTAATGTGTATATAAGATACTAACTAGTCTTTGAGATTCTTCTGCATCGGATGAACCATCCACTTGTTGGTTAACATTTGAAACTTGACCTCCAGTTTCATCTATGTCATCCTCTCCTAAAAGTTCATTATATTAAAAAAAAAAAGAAATTATTTTAAGAAAAAATAAAAGGACCAATTAGGACATTAAGATACAATTATCAATAAATATATAAAGTCATTTATAATACGAAATAGATAATTTTTCGAAATAAATAATGTTCTATAGTATTTCTAATATAATGATTTTCATGTATGATTGATATATTAAGCTACATTTTCACTGGCTACCTCTGACTTACATAAAATCAATATCTGTATTCATTACAATGTAGGTTCAAGAATAGTCAATGTATACATATATTTTTCCAACAAAATTAATATTTCATGTAAATCAATACTTTACAATTTGTCTGCAATAGTATATAAATATATATTTATCGATTCTTTTAAAAAGAATGACTTCATATAATCCTACGGATTCAAATTAATCCTATATATTATACAAATATACGTAAATATTTTGAGTCGAACCGTCGAAAGAACTATTTTCCATCACAGTACCGCGACGACATGGCACCGACAAATATTTTGCCATTCGTTTTTCCAGAAACCCGAGTAATACGCGACTTCAATTCACTTTAGAAAATATATTTCTTAAAAAATCGTAATACAAAATACTTAAGTCAGGAAAAGAAAGAGAGAGCAACATATAATTGGAACAAATGTTATTGGACGGGACGTTCGACCAGCAAAACGGCGGCGGACTGATAATTGCCAAATCGATAGTAACGTTTTATAACAAACCGATTTTTTTATTCCTCCGAAGCGATCAAAACGATAAAACCAGCATAAATACAAACTCTCTGTACAAAAGCGAGTTTGCGCGCATACATAAGTCTCGTTTGAAAATTGAACAAGCTATTAAGATTGGACAGTCGAAATGTATAAATTATTTTCGACTAATCCACGTTCGATGAATGCTTTGTAAGAGAGTATGCGTCCGCCATTTTCTTCGAAAGGGCTCACCACATTGGAGAGAGAGAGAGAGAGAGAAAGAGAGAGAGAAGCCTATATTTTATATTCATAATATTGCCGCGGATTCTGATCTCGTTCGTTCACTGATTATTCTGAAAAATCCATGAACGAACCTGTAATCACGATATACCGCTGCAATTTTTAGTAAGTCCCGGAAGACGATATCCTCGAGAAGCTCGCACCGGTCGCTTATATATTACGATTACTTGTGTGCGTGTGTATAATGAATACGCACACAACCGTACCAGATGGTCGGAAAACCGAAGCTAGCATTACGAAATTACTCAAAGATTCCGCTGGAAATTAGAATTATCACTTTACATTGTTTTTTACTTTTTCTGTAAAAAAATTGAATTTTAAGCAAGAATCCTCGAGATTGTTGAAAAACACACGATGAATGAAATTATCTTATTACTCCGCAGTTGAAATAGATTAAGATTGTACTAGAACTTTGCATGAGAAAACAGCGTGACCCTTTTGACTTTTTCGCATTGAAAAAACAACGGTTAGAGCAAATTCAAATGCGTACATAGGATTAATTGTACAATGAAAAATCAAATAATGAAGCGTTAATTATGTAAGGGTCACGAAATATTGCGAAAACACCGTGCAACATTCAATATTTGACAAGTTTTTAATTTGATTGATTTAAGCAAAAATCTCACTCAAGGGTTAGAAATCGTTTAGCTCTCGGAATTGGTTGTCGAATCATAGTATGATTTAAAATGTAATTACTGTAGAAAATTTGTTGAAATCGTGGCAACAATTTGGTACTAATGTACCTGTAACTGTAATAATATCTAAAATAAGTAAAAGTCAGAGAACCATGTGATTTCTCTCTAACTATCGAATGTAAACAATAACCTATACTCAGATGATTATTTCGTTACATTTGTGTGCTGGTTAAATACAACACGAATATGTATGATACATTAAACCGTTAAACAGAATATCGTGACACGTTCGTGGGATTATTGACAATTCGAAGGTTAGTTGTTCCTTTACAAAACAAAGTAAGATCTGTCGAATTGAAAGGTTAATTGTTTTCTATGGACAATTTAACCTGCCATCGAGTTAGACAAAAACACAGGAGAAATCACGTCGAAACGCGCAACACGCGACAGCGCGTGAAAAACCATAGAAGGATCAATTGACATGGCAGCCATCGTACGAAAAGCGCGCGTCCTGCGTGCTCTCGAGGATACAACTTTCCGGTAGTATTCGTGATCAAGTGTGCCCTCGTCGCACTTACCCGCGTAGCTCTCGTCCACCTCCTCATCGGATGCCATTCTTTAGTACCTCGACAAACTACACGTTCGAGAAAACACCCGAGATTATTATTAATAGTCACTCACTGACTAAGATGCTCACCGTAGAAAAACAGCACGGAAATGCGACATTAAACGTTCGTGGCTCTCGGCGTTTCAGTTTCGGCGTGCCGTCACACTCGTACGTGCACCGATGTGCACCTACTGCTCTACGCTTCTTCTTTCACGCGATTCGTCAGTTCTCCTCATTCTTCCCCCCCGCCCCACTATCGCGTCGCGATCTTTCTCCCCCTCGCTTTCCCCTCCCACCCTTCACAGAGAGTTCGTTTCTTCCCCTCTCTTTCTTTTTCCTCGTCTCCTCCGTTCGCCCACCGTTACATATAACGCGCTATAGCTGAATGTATACCAATGGTCTGCCCGAGTCTACCGTGTTGCATTTATTTCTTTTTACCCCTCCTTCCCTCCTCTATCCTTCATCCACTCTCTACCCCCTTCTGATTCCGCAGAATATATGCTTTTTAATTTTTAGAAAAAGAGATCTTTTTTAATAGCAATGCATTTCTGTGTACTAGTCGCTATACTGACCCCCACTCTTACTTATTTTTCTCATTTTTTTCATTCGTTACGTTTTTAGTTGTTTTTATTGCCGACGCTTAAAAATTTCATCGATTCGGAATATATCTACTTTCATTATAAGATACATCCTTTTTATAAAGTATATATGTATACATACATATGTAGACTACGAATTTTTATGAATTTTTATATCTTTATGAACATAACTAAGGAAATAGAACCTAAATAGAAATTTATCTCATCTACTAAATACTATAATAAACACTCTACTTTCAACATTTTATATATTTATGCATATTATATTTCCCACAGATGGATAAAAATCTGTAATCTATACATATGTATATACATATCGCATGATATATGCCCGCTATTAAGAAAATTAATATACCGTAAATTTTTGATGATTAGTTCTCTGGAATTCCACCATTTCAGTCCAATGTAAATTGTACAGTTGCAAACTGTAATAGTATGCGTATACGGATTTGCGGTATGATTAATGGCCGAACAGTTACATGCGCGTACTATTATATATGTATATATATACATGTATATGTATGCTCGTGTATCGACCTTTTTGATGGAGACAAGATAACTGAACGCAATCAATGTGTATTTTTTTTACCTGAATCTGATATTCATTTTTAATTTGAAAAATACATATAGTAGCTCGCAAAAGTATTAGTATACTTTTTATGTGCACATTTAAAAATTTCATTAATACTATAATGATAATTATATGGGTATAACTAAATGATTCTAGAAATGTATACAGAAGTTACAAGATATTCAATACAAATATATATTTTGCAGAGATCACAAAAGTATTCAAGCAGGCAATTATCCACAATATTAATAAATCTAGGTCTAATTCAGTGGAACCACTTTTAATATAATACATTATATGTTTAAGTTGACTATTCATACCGTATATTAATTTTTTACTAAATATAAGTTTACAGTAAATATCCTCTAACATATATATATATATATTTCAAAATTGAATTCAAATTTTGTCCATATACTTATAGCAGTCGCGTCTCATTACAGTGTTAATAAAATTTTAAAATGTTTCATATAACACGGACAATATAGGAATATATGTTTTCTGTAGCAAATGTACGAATAGCTTTGCGAGCCACTGCACGTATATATCACAATACACATGAGCCGCCGATTTTCTACGATTACTCGTTTATTACTTGTTAATATTAATACGAAAAATAATAAGGGCGACTAGCACACCACGAAAAAATTTGAATTAGGAAATTAGTTATTATCGCTTGTCATCAAATATATAATCCATGTATAGTCCACGATTCTAGCACTAAACATATATCTACGATTCTTTATCTAATTTCATTAATTTTTCGACCTTTGTTCCAGAAAAACATAACTCAACTGATTTTAGTTATTCAATTCATCTTTATAATACTCTTTATTAAATGAAATATATAAATCTAGTGAGAAAAATATACGTGCGATTTACGTTTATAAATATTAAATTAGATTAATAAAAGATAAAATATGTAACGATCCTTTTTGATATTGAAATTAAGTTATAAATTAACAAAGGAAATTCTACAGGGAAGGAATGCAAATATGGCATGATCCAGAAATGATCTGGCCCTACACATTGAAATACCGCAGATCTCTGAATTGTTCTGTACATGACAATCGTTTTAGTCTCAGACAAGTATAATTTCGTTCTGTAGCTACAGGAATTACTAAACAGTTTATTCTCAAAATTAAGTAGATTTTCAGGTATTAACAGGTATCATTTCTAGATCGCAAATTGCAGAATCCCTGCACAATAACATGTTGTTATATGCGTTTACACCTCTTTATTCATAAGTGCTAGAAATACGAATCATGTGTACCAATAGAGGACACGTTACATGCTCTGCTGGAGAGATACGTACCGTCGTATAACGTGAGGATGAAAATTTTATTTATACGTCTCGTACGTAACAATCTATTTACAGGTGATGAAATACATACATATCATGAAGGCCTTCGTATACAAAACGAAAAAGTCAGAAGAAAGCATTTGTAATACTCTTACGTACAATAAATTCACTCTTCTTTCTAAAACCTGTAATACTAATTTTATAAAACAAACATGTTTTATGTATATCACTTAAGGAATTACAATTTACAAAAAGATATAATAAATCGTCTTTAGGAATGAATAGAAGCAATACTGTATGGAATGAATTAGTACCTTTAAATTTTAACAATAATTCACAACCATCGATCGATGTTAGAAAATTATTGTATATATTTGGAATATTTAGATTCAAGCCTTTAACACTGTTAAAACTGCTTTTTTAACAAATCAAATATGAATAAAGTTTTGATTTTATGCAGTTCGATTAATTGTGAACAAAACTTTGTACTACATCTTTTTATATATTAATGAAATCTAATTTCTCGTCAAAAATATTTCGATCTAGAATATATATGGTACATTTCTATGCATAACTAGAGATATATATATTTGTCTGTGACAATTAAAGAAATAGATAATCATAAAAATTTCTTGTCTCAATGGAATACAATTACTTGCAAAACTTCTGATGAATGTCATCTATGCAGTTGTCCATACAAATCAAAATAGATTTGCAAAGATAAAAAGGTATACGTAATGCTATTGTATAATCATATATTAAGATGGAATATTTAGTTTGCTCAACCATAGTCGACGCTTAAAGCGCTCAGCCCTTTCTTCTTTATAGCTTCTGCCACAGCTCTTTCTAGAAAATTCTCTTGTTGGTCATTCTCATCAATTTTATCCAAATCAAAATCAAGCCTATTATATTCCTCTGTGCTTTTTGAATCATTCAATCTTAATGAATTTGCAGATGTAGTAGCTACAGAGTTTTCAAAATTTCCAACATTTTGTATGCGATTAGAGGGACAGGAACAGTGCACATCAGTGTATTCATTATTGGTCCAATATCCTGGAGCTTTGTCACTGTAAAAAGCACTGGATTGAGGAATAAGTCCTGTAGACTGTACTAGACCGTGATTACGAATTGCCATCATAACTGCAGTGTCTTCCATATCGTTTCCTCTAAACAACTGAAATCTGGACTCCTCCACGGAACAAGAGGATGAAGTTACCATAATGTAATTCTCTAATACTACATTAATGGTATTATCCACATATCCTTTGGCCACCTGACAAGCTTGCCATCTTTTCAATTTTTCCCTTGCTTGTCTCTCTGCATCGTCATATTCTACATTTTCTGTTTCTTGTACCATCTCTTCCTTTCCTACTGAATTCTTTTCCTACAAAATAAATGCTTAAATGGAACATATATTTTGAGAAATTAAATGATCACACTTTGCTCATTTCTATTTAGAGAAATAAAATATATGATTAATATATAAGATGATTCATATGATTAATATAAAGGACAGTTCTATGTCTTCTTCTATCTTAATTTTCATGTCTTTTAACATATCTGTCTTATGCCTTAATATACTGCATATATAGTCTGTATATATAGCTGAAGCATGTTTTGATCTAGGTAAAGTTTATAATTTTTATCCTCCCACTTTTGGAACAGTAGTAGACTTGTAAAAATAAAATACTGAAAACTGAAATTCGATATTGTTCATAAACTTTAAATAATGTCAAGGTATGCTTTAATTATAAGTATAACAATGCTAAAGTATGTAGTAACTATAACATATATTGAGGCACAAGACAAATACTTTGAACATTTTCTTTAACCATCCATAAATTAAAAATGAAGGAATATATGTGACATATATGCATATGATGTCTTTTACTTATTTTAATGTGTAGATTCACTCTCTAAAGTATTGACATGTATTTATGAATCACCCTATATATCATTAGAATAATTTAATATAATATTGAATTTATTGTAACTATACGTAACAGTTACCATATCCCAAATCGTCTCGTTGCCTTTAAGTCGTGTACATTGCCGTTTCGGAGGAGCTGGCCTTTCGTGATCGTCAGTATCTGATTCCTCGATGTCAGTCGCCATTTTCTCTATTTTATATAGAACTGTATCGTTTTCTTTTCAAACAACTTAAATAAGAATAAATAATTCCAACAACGATACTTCTAAACAATCATCAAGCAAAGAGTCTGACCGACGTTACAAAAATTCGAATCACTTCCACCAACTTTCTTTGACATCTTTCTCTTGGATAATAGTGATAAATCTTTGTCGTGCTGTCAATTAACTTGAAATAACTTCGACGTTTTTGATTATACGCAGTCTTCACAATGTGAGTAGATCGCAGTATAAAAATTGAATAATAATCACGAACGAATCGGTTAGAACTCAAGAGGACAAATACCACACATAATCAAATGGCAAGAATCGTTTTGACAGCTTCAAAATGGCTACTTTACCATTAGATTCTATATAAAATTACCAAATTGAATCGCAAGCATATTTCGTAGATTATTAATACGAAATACATTCTGAAAATATCGTAAAGAAAATTGTGCAAGAACGAAGCACATCGGGAAGTAATTTAAATTTAAATTAATCTACCTGGACGGTGTTTTGACTGCAGCACTACATTCTAAAATGGCGTAAACATGTGTTTGCAGTGTTCAAGGGAATTTTGACGTCTGGTTCTGTCAAGCATATCGTTTTGTAAATCGTTCGAAGTAAATTCGTTTTGACATTTTCGTTAAACACGCTAATTGGCATGGCAGTCTGTGGAGAATACATTCGTAGTCAATTTCCCACGATAGATGACGACCTATACCAATATGTAGAAGGTATATTTCCAAAAAATAACCTATAAGTTATACGAAATATTTATCACTTCGTTTATAAGTGGTACGTATATTTTTAACTAACATAAATATCCGTGCTCATAAAGGTATTTTAGATAGTTCAAAGGATGACTTCGAGGATGGCGACGAAGTTTACGAAGCAATAGGGGAGGTATTACACGAGGTTGCAGAAAAACCAGAGAATGAGGTTAGGTCTGTAAACGTGTTCGCACTTATCACTTTTTATAATGTTGTCAATTACCCTTTATTGCTATCGTTTATTTTATGTTTAACTTTATAACTTACAGCTACAGTTTCAACTTACAGTTCTTTCTGATATTTATTTTTGAAATCATTTTCTTACATAATCTTTGCTCAAATTTCTAATTTAGAATTTTTTATTTGCAGACAAATATGCGTCAAGCTACTGGAAATGCTAAAAGGTAATTCAAACGATGGAAATGTTGAAAGGAGAAAAAATGGGGTAAACAAAGTATTAAATGCTCCAGTACATTTGGGTACTATGGCTGCTACCCTAGAAGCTCAAGTAGAACAAATAAAAAGTATATGGGTTACTACTAGAGATGACGCTATGGTAAAAAATAATTCTGTGGATAATTAATATTTAAATAGTACTTTGATCACAAAATATTCTTTTACAGAAAGTAGATGCCAAGAAGCTGGAAAAGGCAGAGGCAAAATTGCAACAAAAACAAGAAAAGAGAAGTAACAATGAATTGAGTGGACGAATTAATATTGTAAGCCAAGGTATAGAATCCGCTAGCGCGAGTCAAATGACGAGTAAAAAGGATAGTAGAATGGAGACAAAAGGTGGTGTAAATAAAGCCCAGGATATTAGAATAGAAAACTTTGATATAGCATATGGGGATAGAATATTATTGCAAGGAGCTGACTTAACGCTTGCATTCGGTAGACGCTATGGCCTTATCGGTAGAAATGGACTCGGTAAAACTACATTACTAAGAATGATATCTAGGTACTAAAACATGTAATATGATAATTTCTTATTCTACGTATTTTACTTAATCTTCTAAATATTGTTTTATCTCAATCATTTCAGTAAACAGTTGAGAATACCATCCCATATAAGAGTTTTACATGTAGAACAAGAAGTCGCTGGAGACGATACTTCTGCTCTCGAATCTGTATTAGAATGCGACCAAGAGAGAAGTATGTTACTTAGTAAGGAAACAGAATTGCAAGTGGCGATCGAAAAGGATGGTGGTAAAACGGGAGATGCATTAGGCGAAGAATTAGCTAGAGTATATGAAGCAATGCAGTTAGCTGAAGTAGATAAAGCACCTGCTAGAGCTAGTGCAATTTTATCAGGACTTGGGTTCTCTGTCGAAAGACAATCGTGGCCAACTAAAGCTTTCTCTGGCGGCTGGAGAATGAGATTAGCACTTGCAAGGGCACTGTTTTCTAGACCTGATCTTTTATTACTTGACGAACCTACGAACATGCTTGATATTAAAGCCATACTTTGGTTGGAGAAATATTTACAGTCATGGCCAACTACGTTACTGGTGGTTTCTCACGACAGGAACTTCTTAGACACAGTAAAGACTCGTGTGCTTTAAAGAATATTATTCATACATTCTAAATAAATAAGTTTAATTTTATGATATTTTTTACAACAGGTTCCAACTGATATACTATATTTGCGTGGACAAAAAATTGAAGCGTATCGTGGTAATTATGAACAGTTTGCAAAAACTAAAGGGGAACGTGAAAGAAATCAGCAGAGAGAATATGAAGCTCAGCAAGCGAAAAGAGCACATGTACAAGAATTCATTGATCGATTTCGATACAATGCCAATCGCGCTTCTAGTGTACAGAGTAAAATTAAGATGCTAGAAAAATTGTAAGTTCAGTAAATCTAATCTAGAGAACGATCAGAGAACGCTCAAATTTTATCATTTTTAACAGACCAGAACTTAAACCAATGGAGAAGGAAGGAGAAGTAACTCTTCGTTTCCCAGATGTTGAACCATTAAGTCCTCCAATATTGCAACTTAACGAAGTCTCCTTTAGTTATACTGGAGGAGTCGATAATTCGTATATATTTAGTGGCGTGAACTTAACTGCTAGCTTACAATCCCGTATTTGTATCGTAGGAGAGAATGGTGCTGGTAAAACTACGCTTTTAAAAATCATAACAGGTGCACTAAGTCCAACACGAGGCACAGTGCATGTTCATAGAAATTTGAAATTTGGATATTTTAGTCAACATCACGTAGACCAACTTGATATGCGTGTGTGCCCAGTTGAACTATTGCAAAATCATTTTCCAGGTGTGAATTAATTTTTAATTTGTACAAATGTTACTATTAATAGATTATTTCTATATTCTGTTCTTCATTTAATTACCAGGTAAACCAGTTGAGGAATACAGAAGAATGCTTGGAAGCTTTGGAATAAGTGGTAATTTAGCTTTGCAGACTATTAGTTCTTTATCTGGAGGGCAAAAATCTAGAGTAGCATTTGCACTAATGTGTGCTGCAATGCCAAACTTTTTGGTACTTGATGAACCTACGAATCATTTAGACATCGAATCCATCGAAGCTTTAGGCAAAGCATTGAATACTTGTCAGGTAAAAAGTCGTCCTAAGTTTTCTCTTAGTTTATGTTGTACAAATTCTATTTTGAATAATCTTCCAGGCAGGTGTTATATTAGTTTCACACGACGAAAGATTAATTCGCATGGTATGCACCGAACTCTGGGTATGTGGAGAAGGATCTGTTCGATGCATCGAAGGTGGTTTTGACGAGTATCGTAGGATCATTGAAAAGGAACTTGAAGTATAAAGATCGTTTTAATTTAATTGCATTATCAGTCTCTGCATTGTCCCCACTCAAGTTACCGATGTGAAAATTTCGATTAATTCAAGTAGATACAAGAAAAGAACGAATGTTTTGGGACAATGGAAATTTTTGATTTATTTATCGATGATATCACGGATATTATATCGTCTATTTTAAATAAAATCGTGATCATTATAAGAATCATTGTTTACATATTATATATATATTTCATCATATTAACATGAATTTTGCAAAATAGACTGAGTCTTCAACTTACAAGAACATAGAACTAGGAAAGTTTCACATCGTTTAACTGCCAGCTACAATAAACTATATCTAAAAAAATTCTGATATTTAATATTGTACATTAGTTAATAATAAAAAGTCGTTGTTATAAATAAAGGTATATAAGACTTTGTCCTTATTACAAAACCATTCAGGATATTACATTCAAGATATATATATAATATAAACGCAGTTCTTTTCTTTAAATTTACCATATACTATCTCAATAATACGACATATCAAAATTTTATACGAGAAATTTGTAGAGCTGTGAAATTAAAAACATTAAAATCAACATTTTATTTTTAATAAACATAAAATGTTCATGATACTTCATAATACATAGTAGTTTTAATATTTTTATTCCGCTTCCTTTTTCTTTCATCTAAACCTTTCATTTCAATGTAATAATATTTCGAAAACTATTAAAACTAGTTGTATAACATAATAAATATAACAAATTACTTGAATGTGCCAAAGAAGTGGTTCTGTGTTGTCACAGTTAACCTCCGGATGAAGTATTTAATGATACCATTGTATTGGATATAGAAGACATTTGCATGGGTGGCGCAGGAGCTTGTTGTTTTGCAGCTGGAATTTTCAAATACTTCTATTATTTTTCTCTTGACAAAACTTAAATTCGCTCGATAATCAGGTAATTACTTTAACATGCAGTTGGATCTTGAAGATGCATATCACGCAATGCAAGCAATTAGCTCAAGTAGTTAAATAAGCACCTAGTATTAGTTGCTGTATTGTAATATATATAATAAACAATTAAATTAGTTAAATAAGTATGTGCTTTATTTTTCATACTTAATTTTACTTTGTGCCACATAAATGTACATGCAAAGAGATAAACTTTCTATTCATGAGCAGAAACAATACAAACTAGTTGATTTATGATATATGAATATAACATGGTGACTCATTGTCAGTAGTAAATCATATGCAAGAAATGATGCATAGTTTTAGATATGCAAATTTATAAAAATAACTCCGCAGTATACCGCCTAATAGTATGATTCGAAAACGAATATGATGGACTTTTAAATATATCGTTCTCACCATTTCTGCTGCTGTAGACTTTCGTAAACCCCTTAAATTGCTCCGGCGGCGGGAAATTCGCAATAGAATGAAACATATCCGCGAACCGAACCTCTAAATCTAGAGCATTCATCGTCTGTCCATTGCGCATGGAAGAACTCCTTGTGGGAGGTGTTGGCGGTGGTGGCGGCGGCGGGGCTAGTCTTTGATGAGTAGGAGCTGGACGGTGCGGAAGGGGCGGAGGTGGAGGTGGTATACAAGGAGCGCTAACAGTTACTCTAGAAGGAGGTGGCGGTGCCACTCTAGTTGCTGTAGAGGGTATATTGTTTGATCTAGATGTAGGTGGAGAAGGAGGTTTCGCGACTGGAGGCTTAAGAATTCGATTTGTAGGCCTCGATTGGGTCTCGTTCAGACAATCCTGAGACTGATGAAGGGAAGGTGGAGTTGGAGCAAGTACAGGAGGTGATCTAGGCAATCGCATACTTTGTGCTCTTGACACACTTCCTCCAGTTAAGTTTAATTTCTTAGGAGGTGGTGATGGTTTGTGCAATGCAGATGTTGATGTGGTAGGTGGTTTGGGAGCAAGAGTAGGCTTTCCAAATCCCTTAGGTGCTTCCATATTAGAACTAGAGTCTGCAGTACTTTGTCCTGGCATTGAGTTTGCCTTCTAAAATGTGACACAAAATCTTCAAATCTATATTAACATATAATTTTTTAGATATCTTTACCTGAACAAATAGTTGTGGCTTTTGAGTGGCTGGTGGTGGAATTGGCGGTGGACCTCTTTTTATGCTAGGGACAGTCGATTGACCAAAGTTTGTATTATTAACATTACTATTATTCTTTTCAACTGCAGAAGTCCGAGATCCTACAGGCTTCAATTTAGGAATACCAGTAGGAAATAATCCACCTAGTCCTATGGGACCTCCATTACTTGTGCTAATGCCACTGTTTGCTACATTAGAACTATTTTCCTTGCTATGTAAGGAAGAAGAGTTTCCTGATTCACCTCTAATTCTACCTAAAATGATAATAATAATAAGTATCGCTGACTGAAAAATATACATATTTTATAACTTACCACTAACTACAGGTGCACTTTTATCTACGGTTATAGTTTTCTTTAAAGTTTTGCCAGCTCTAATTGACTGAAGAAGTAAATTTCTATCCTGATCTGCTACCCCAGAACCAGATGTGTTGAAGACAGGAGGTGGAGGTGGAGGTGGTGCAGGCATCCTTATTCAATTTTTATAAAAGTATTTACCACCTCTGTTAAAATCGTATTATAACAATAAAACGATTAATTTAAATAAATCTGAATCACAATCCTTATGATCAAATTAAATTGTAGACTGTAGCATGTAGAATGGCTGAAACACATTTTGAGATAAGATTAGACCTCCTACACAGAAAATAGTGCAATTAGGTTAGCGAAAAAATAATTTCAACATTTTCTACGATATTTTATATTTGTATTGGCAATTTTTATACTTTAGAAACATATGTCGTAAGTATAATGAGACAAATTATAAATAATTTACCTAAAATTGATAAAACGATTCTATCCCCCCAGAGGAACAGTCTTTGAAACTACCGCACTTTGCATCCGTTTCTGATTCACTATGAACGAACAGAATCCACAACATTCCAAATTTTTCCAGGGCCGATAAAAATTCAGATGCACTGATGTTTCTTACGGGTAAAAATTAAAATCGACTCGTTAGACGTATAGATAACTGAATTAATGCACATCTTGATAAAAGTCGACCATTTGTTTATAGCATTGACGAGTCATATTCGATCGAACATGCATACGTCGAGTCGAATACACCTGAATACACCACACCTGGGAGCTCTTAAACTCATGACAGTGAAATGAGAACAGTATCTTTCTCTTGTAGCTATGTTACCATTGGCTACCAAGAAGAGATTCGCAGCCTCGCTTTCCACTATAGAAACACACATCCGTTTTTAAACATTCCAGTTGTAATTGTTTCCTTATTCGTTTATGCAATCTGGAAGTTAAGTAAAAATATTAATTCTTAATGTATTAAAAAACCGACAAAATGATTTCCATAAATTAAAGTTGATTAAAAATAAGATATCAATTAAGATGTATTAAAATTAGACTTTTACTATATAAAAAGTAATATTTTATGCGTTACATTAAAATATAAAAGAAATGTGAAATATTTGAAATACAATATATACATATATATAATTTATAAGGAATATAATTAGCATATAATAACATACAAATATAGGTGACAGAATGAAGCTTCTTTCTTAAAGAGAAACTTTCGCCATTATACAAATAAATAAAAGCAATGAAACATCTTATCTTTTAGGTTTTTATTCTGTACATGATTTTATTCAAATAATAGCCTGAAAAGATTAATCGAGTGCAACAGTTGTTGTCTCTACATAGCATAAAATTTTTCTATATTAAGGTGAAAGACTGAACATATCTGAGAGTCATAATATCAAAAACTGTTTATAAGTGTAAAATTTATTTTGTGCAAAAGATCTTTCTTTTTACAATTAATATACAATTATTATACATATTTACAAAATTCGCCCATCAATACAAAAATAGATTATATACTATATTGAATTACGATAATCCCTGTAAAAAGTTTCCCCTCGCGTTTAGCTGCATTGCAAAACATAATTGCAATAATTTTTACGAGCTCTCATAAACAATGTAACACTACCTAGATTTTTAAATCTTTCATCGATGTTGTTAACATAACAACCAACGTTTTAACCAACAGCTTTTTTTATTCCTAAACCTTCCAGGCAAATGATCCCATATGGAAAAAACATAATTCTTATTTTTATTCCTTTGTTACATGATTCGTTGGTTCAGGCTTTATTTCATCGATCTGTTCAGTAATAACTATATCAGACTGCTCTGTATCTTTATGCAGAGCAATAATAATTTTTTCTTCCGTGGAAGATTGACTATCTGAGGAACCCTCCTGTGTTGAAGTAGCTGCTTCCTAGAATAGAAAGAAAACTATGAAAAAATAATAATAGACCTACAACATTTTCGACTTCCCATTCTTTTCGTTAATCTCTAAACTGAACTGATCCCAGTCAGATTATAACTCTTCTTACCGTACTTCGAATCTTCGTGTGTGTCTTTATATGTTTCGTCAAATGGTCTGATCGCATGAATTTTTTAGTACACTCAGGACATTGGAATCTCTTTTCACCGGTGTGAGTTCTACGATGCCTCTGAAGCTCATCCGACCTAGTAAATTTCTTACCACAAAATATCCAACTACAAACAAACGGTCGTTCTCCGGTATGCCATCTCAAATGAGCCCGAAGATGACTGGTCTTTCCATATACCTTATTACAACCCGCTATATGGCATACATGTTGCCGTTTTCTAGTCATATCTCTATTCCTATTCATATGAATTTCAATCTATAAAATTGTTATGAACTTGAACAAATACAGATTAGTTTTAAAATCCTACCTATCACCATCTCCGCAATTAGGACACGTGCAAGCAACCCTTCTACGATGTTGCTTATTAGAATCCGTCTCGATATTTGCAGACGGTGCAGTAGCTACTTGATGCTGGTGTGATGTGGGGGTAGGCGTTGTTAACGCGTTATTCGATTGAAGAGTTTGTAAAATTTGCCACTTTGTCGGATCATTCGAATCTAATTGTACGGTTGGAGCAGCAACAATCGGTGCAGCTGCTGTTGCAGGTAGCGTTTGAACGGTGGCGGGCTGAAGAGCACTTGCAGGTATAACTTGCACATTACCTAAACCTGGAATATTTTGCACAGGTATCGACTGAAGAAAACCATTTGTCGCGTTCATTCCACCAGCAGGTTGAAGTTGCATTATACTGCCATTGCCAACGCTCCTCATCATGTTACCTTGCTGGGCAGTTAAGCTTGCTAACGCGGATGCAGGAATTAAAGTTAGCTGTTGTGCTTGCGTTCCTGTAAAATATACATATTGAACTGTTAATATGGTTTTCCTAGTTATAGATAGAAGAAATTCAAATTAACAGTCATTGGTCAATGTACCTGCAATTGTAATTGGCTGAACTGCAGGTTGTGTTGTTTGAGCAGCAGGAATATGTATAACTTGGCCGCTAGCTAATTGTCTAGCATCAATACTGGCTACTTTTATATCACCCTCGACTGACTCTGGTGGTCTTGCTAATGCTGATAACGTCTGTACATCGATTTTCTGTCCATCTTTTGTGGTAATTACATTGTTGCTTCCTTGCATTGGCCTCCCAAGTGCACCGATTCCAAGTACCTATAGAAGATGCAATAAATATAAACATTTAATCATAGACATAAAAGATAATTAACCCTCTTAATACATCTTCTACAATCTTTCACCTGAACGTTGCTTGGGGTTGTTACTGTTGTGCTCCAAGTTGCCACAGTTGAAGATGGCGTGGATGATTGTTGTTGCGCTTGTTGAACTTGTTGTTGCTGCTGCTGTTGTATAACTTGCTGTACAACTTGTTGCACTTGTTGCTGTTGTTGCTGCTGCACTTGAGCTTGTGCCGCCTGCTGTTGCTGTTGCTGCTGCACGGACTGTACAACCTGTGGTTGAGCTTGCTGTTGCACTACTTGCTGTGCTTGTTGCTGAGCAACTTGCTGAGCTACTTGTGTTACCTGTTGATTCTTATATCAAAATTATTTTAATAAAATCGTACATTGTTATATGATGTATTATTTCTTTTTATATTTACTTGTAAGCTTTGAAGTTGTGGTATGTTAGCAATTTGGACTTGCTGAATTTGTCCATTAGGTGTAATTATTTGAGCTACTTGTGGAATTTGCTACAAATAAATTTTATTTCAAATAATATATGTATACTAATTCTTATCGCACAAAAATTTGTATTCGCGTAATCGACATACTTGCGTGATCTGCGGTATCATCTGCGTGGCAGGCACATTGAAAACACTGGACAATGCTTGAACTGGAAAATGTACAGTTTGATAAACTGTCTGTCCATTACTAGCAGTAACTGGTACTTGCACAGGCACAGTTTGTTGAACATGTTGCATAGGAAACTGAAGAGGTCTAACTTGTACACTTTGCCCTGAATATAAAAAATATTTAATGAAATCTGCTATCTTTTATAAAAGTAATCTGATAACAATGGAACACATACCTGTTGGTAACTGAACAGTTTGCGCAGTGATATTCTGTATAATGGAAGTAGGAAAGACACTGGGTGCTTTTATCAAACTAACTGGCTGTGGTGTAATAATAGTCTGACCATTAGCCAGTTGTACTTGCTGGCTAGCAAGTTGAACTTGTTGGCCGTTAGCAGTGGCGAATTGCATTGTTGGTTGGCTTTGATGATGCCCTCCTGCAGCAGACATAGCTGAGGATGGGATGAAAAGTGCTTCTTGGCCATCAATGTTAACGGTTTGCATCTGTGGTATAACACTATAACTGAGTTGTTGTTGCGGTTGTTGCTGTTGCTGCGATTGTTGCTGTGTTTGCTGTTGTTGAGACTGTTGTTGCTGTTGCTGAAGCGCAGCTTGAGCCTGAGTACTGATCAACTGAGCACCCTGAAGTAATTTTTACATCTTAAAAGGAGAAAGAAAAGAAGCGAACCATTTAATATTCTTTTAAAAGCATTTCTCACCTGCAAGAATTGTTGAGGCAAAGATTGTACAGAAATGGTTTGTGCTCTTTGTTGATCATGCTGCGGTTGCTGAGTCTGTAAAGGCACAAAATTTTGCAATTGTTGCAAAGTAATGACTTGTGGCTGCTGTTGTTGCTGTGCTTGTTGTTGAACATCTTGTTGCTGCTGCAATTGCTGCAAAACTGCCGCATTTGTGGTTAAGAAACGAATTTGAGGTTGGGCAGTTTGCTGTTCCAATTGCTGTTGTTGCTGTTCAGCTTCATCCTGCTGCTGCTGCTGCTGTGTTTGTAAGAGATCATGATCTTCGATCTCCTCCTGTCAAATAATTACAACATTTGCATACTTCTGCATACTTTATTTCTATAGAAATAATTAAATCAAATTTCTCAATCGTTTTACCTGACTGATACTTCTCCCATCCACGCTTCGTTTCATGATAAATATATGTGTAGTATATTCTTAACACAAACAAGGTCGTCGTCAACGCCAAATTTATGCAGATTACCCTTATGCTAGGAATCCATTCTTGACTATACCAAACAGGACTGACTATTTAGTCCGTGGTACGCGGAAACACCCGCTGGAAGAGCGTTTAATCTAAAAAATTCAGTAGTTGGTTAAACCTGCTCTATTTTACTTTATAACTACTTAAGGTATGAATCTCCACCAAGTTAGCTACAATCGTAACTACCCTGCCACTTGAACACCGCATCTGGCTCCGTTTTTCTTTTTCTTTTATTTCGAGTTAAAGTAAACGACATTTGCTACTCAGGTACATCGCGATTGAACGAAAATGAAGTGAAAATAATGCGAATGAAGCCGTAGCGTCGAATGAGCAAGAAACACGAACGACTTAAACGATATCGACACGTGCGAAGACCACTCTCCGAAGACAAAGAAGGCCAGAGAGCACTCCTCGAGAACCCAATCGAGGACCGCCTCTCTACGCCCCTGTTCCTGCCGCCCCACCCGCAGCCGCTCGAAATATTGCCCACCGTGGCAAGGACGCGCATAACCACCGACACAGAGGCGCACTGTATGTCGTCACACCCGCCCACTCGGTCGTTTGTCGACTGTCCGCCTCACCAACACACTCACCTACACGCGATAACGGGGAAGGCAGCCTCACGATGCAGCCTCCACCCACTTTGCACATGGGACTCCACCTAACTCGCGAACAGCACGTGGCTCCTCCGCAGAAACGTCCACTATGTACTCCCGCCACTCGATTTTTTCCTCAAAAACCAGGATGATAAGCCTTCCGTGCTCGCTACGCTTCCTGTTTCATCTGTTCGACCCCGTAGCTGTCCCTGAGACGGCCATAATAGAACACCACGGATAACTAAACTTCAACCTAAAAGATTTTACAATATTGTAGATTACAAAGAAGTTGGTAATGAACAGAAAAATAAATAATACAGTATAATAATATTGTGTTATGTAAAGTAATACATATATTCGCTAAAATATATATATATATATAATATATATATATATATATTCGCTGTTTTAGAAATGCATTTCCATGTATACATCTATACACCGACGTGCATACTCAAGCGTTGCGTGGTACGCGCGCGCACACTATTCTCGAAGCGATCACAGTCGACGATCTATGTCCTCCTTCTTTGGTCGATACACTCTCTGTTATAGTGGAAACGTTTTTTTTACAAAAAGAAATACGATCAAACGAGATTCTTTGCCACAATGGTTCAACTAATTTCCTTGGTAACACCAGAAGATTGACGCTATGTTCAAAGTTGCCGCCAAAAGTACAGATATAGGACAAGTCAATGTTCTTCTTTTTCTTTCTGATGATCGACGAAGAAATTAGTTAGCGGATACTCTATAACCGACAATTTCCGACGAAAGAACAATCTTACGCTGGTTTCGTATCACCTTGCGAACGATTCGATTTCAACGTGATTTCAACATGTGCACGTAGACTCGCAACGTGTTGGTCGGCCGTCCCTCGCGAAAACAGGGCTACGAATACCGCTATGAGAGGACTACTTTCGCCGTGGGGCGGTACACAAGGTGGCAACGTCGCCGTACGCCAAGTGCGAGGATCAAAGCTCTGATTGGTCGTTGGTTATTCGTGATAGTTGGCACCGAGCAGAGGTTCGTTAGACAGGGGCGTACGCAGAAACCGTCGGACGCCCACCCCGTCGAAGAGGGATAAACGATGCACACCTCCTACTTTCTCTGGCCTTCCTTCCCCTCTTTTTACCAATACCCCCGGTCAGGGCCACGCTTGAGCAGGGTCGCGAACATCGGCATATCGTTGTTATAGAGCAAACTCACTCTCTCTCCTTCTTACTCTATCACATTATAGAAACGCTACTGATTGCCTGATGCCGACATTTATAGGGAGAAGGGAGGAGCTGTTAGTACTCCCTCGCTATGCCGCCGCCCTTCTTTTCATAATCAGAAACAAGCTTCACGAAACGAATCTCTCTTGCTTTAGTTGGCCATGTATGGAGTGGCCGAGTAGATTATGTGTTGAATGTGATTCAATCCTGAAGGCTATTTTAATTGGAAGTAGTGATGGGTTGTCTCAAGCATTTCAAGCCGCATCGAATATCTGAATGTGGCGAAAATTCAAATCAGTTCGAATACGATTCAATACCCTAAAACTTATGAAAGTCTTGGACCTTGAAAGTCTTGGAGATCTTGAAAGTTTTGCAACTCTTGTAAGTCTTAAAAGCTTAACGTGTAGTCAATATTTGACAGCATTTTGAATACTTTAATCCAAATACATACATTGGTATAAAATATTAAAGATAAGTAAATAGAAAGTTTGAGATATTGGAAATGCATCTACGCGAACGATTTCCAAGAGTTTTGAAGTATTGAATGATATTCGAATCACTTCGAATTTCAGCATTCTTAAAAAACATTGAATCATCTCAAAACTGACAATGAAATTCGAATGCCCATCATAAGTTGTATTTCTATGCGATACAATCCTGCAAGCTACTTCAATTGGAGGTTATGAATCTGTCGATGTTTTTTCGATCAATCATATGTATTTTCTATACTTTTTTTAAGACTCAATTCACGTATTGATTTCGTTAAAAAGTGGGTACTTCGTACATAGCAACAGCAATTTTTCAGCAAGGTGTATAAAAATATCGATAGGAAGGGATTGATAATATACAGAATACAGAACGATATAAAAATAATTTACTTAACAAAAAGTATATAATCTCATACTGCTCCAATTTGAGGTTATGAATTTACCAATATTTTTTTATATTTTGTACTTTTTTTGGAACTCATCGGTAATCTATTTATTTCATTAGAATTTATCTGGTGTATAGTAATAGGAATTTTTCAGGTAGGTACCTGGAAATATTGATGAGGTTTAATTCAATAAAGAGGAATGGATATTATATGGAAGTGGTATACATTTGACATGACAAAAAATAACATATTTATCTGGAAGGAATGAGATGTAAAATAAGTCCAATATGGCTTTTATTAAGTCAATGATAATGACAAGTGAAATAAATTAATCTCTAACATCAACCGTATGTCGTAATTGCATGATGTTAGTAACAATAAATTAAATAAGTAGTTACATTTAAGTAATCAGATAATCTACATATAGACTGTTTACTAATATACATTAGCAATTAACGTAATTTATAAATAAATTCTTCAAGAGTTCTAAAAATAATATCGAGCTTACAATCCAATGGCGTGTATGATTATGTCACATGTAATGTGTACCTAAACAGGGAATTATTCACAATACATGCTTGACGATTTTGTTACAGCGAGTCTAAAGTAACAAACTTAAAATAACATCATGTATTTCTTTATACCAAACTGCATTTTCTAATTGCGTTAAACTAGAATTTATTTTCTGTAACATCAACTTTGTAATTATGAAAGCATAAGTTCAATGATTATGGCATTTAAAATGCTCAACGTTCGTGTAAGTATATAATTTTCTAAAAATTGTACCAACTCAGTATACAATGACATACCTAGTCATAAATACGTTTCTTAATCATATTGATGCATTTAAAGACTTATATACAGATTAGAACATATCTGTTCTATTCCTTAATGAAAACTGAAACACTGTACATAAAAATATTTACATATTAAAATTGAAATTGTTGTTATGGTCGTGTCCTTTTCCGAAGTTGATCTTTAAAATAGTTAAGATTCAGCGCAGCCATAATTAATGTACATTTACGCGCTTAAAATCTTCCCTCTTATCTTCATCTCGTTCATTTTGAGCTTGCAAGCTAACTGCAACGAAGGTAGAAAGTCGTTGTATAAAGTACGAAAAAAGATAAATAGGTCTACAAAGTAGTAATCCTAGAGTATTTGTACTAGAGTGGGCTACAATTGAAGTTCAGAGTGAACAATGATTTTGTCATAATGAATTTGTCGTAGAACTGTGTTTTGAACGTGTAAATTGCTTTTAGAAGCGTGCAAAAAATTGTACAATGCCACAGAAAATGAACCTCCTACAGTCCACCGCCTGATCTCTCTACACTGATCTGTTTCTTCAGCATATCTTTCTCGTGTTGCGCCTCTTCCATCTCTGCCATCCTTGCAAAACGTGAATATGCCACGTGTCCAGATTTAATGGCCGACATCATCTGCGTCAAATTGAGAAAAATTAGCTTTAAAAATTCAAAACGAGGAGAAACCTGGTTCCATAAACTTGGTGATAATCACAGTTTCATAGTTTGGCACAAGAGCAGCATGATACTAAAATATGTTGAAAGAAAGAAGTAAAAGAAGTAGAGAGGTTCGAATATTCATAGAAATATTGTAGTCACAACATCAGAACAAGACACGCTTTGATTAGATTAGATTATTGTAATCTATTAATATGTAATCAGGTCTAAACTATTCGTGCAACAAAAAAGAGAATATTAAAAAATTTGTTACGAGAAATTATGATAAAATAAAGGAATACAAATGTTATTGGTATCTATCATTATCCAACAGATCTTTTGTGCGATTATTTTTTTTTTTTGTTAAAACTGAACTAGTCCTAAGTAATGTTAAAAGATATGTAAATATATATGTAAAATAATGCAACAAAAGAAATTTGAGGAAAAAAGAAATTTGAAAGCGGCTGCAAGACTATACGACAAATCCGTGCGTGCGAGCTTTCACAGACCTGAAGATATTCGTCCAACTCGACCTGACCATTCATATTAGTGTCGATTTCGCGTAGTATTTCATGAAGCTCTTCACCAGGCACTTCCTTGTCACCAAACAACTGCGAATGGTAAACAAATGTTTCAATTAAATATATGCTTTACGATTTACCTGTAGATAATCTTGTAACTCCATTTGCCCATTGTAATTGAGATCAATTTCATTGAGCAAAGTGTGCATCTCATCTTCTTTCAGTTTTATGCCAAGTACCTGTACATCGACAATTACACGTATAATGAAAACAAAAAGAAAATAAAAAAATAAGTTTAGCATAAAATTAATATTATGTTTTATGCAAACCTTAAGTCCCCGTCTGATGTCGTTAATGGAAACATAGCCTTTGTTGTCTTTATCGATGATTCCAAAACGTTTAATATACAACTGAATTTCATCCTTCGTGAGGTTGATAGGAATTTTGTCACGAGACGCGCGATTAACCATTTGTCCCATTTCATTAGCGAGGAAGTCACTAGCCTCTTTATGCTGTCTTTTCTTTTCCTCCGGTGTCCAATGTAATTCTTCTCCCATAATGTCGATAATTACCGGAAGAGCTTCTTGTGCTGCTTGGACGTTTAAGAAGGCTAATCTCAATCGTCTTGCAATCATATCAATTGCTGTTCTCGCGTATTCACGAACTCCATATCGAATCTAAAATTAATAGCGGTTAATTATTACAATGAATAAAGAAAGATATATAAAAAATAATGATTGATAGTATTTACCTCAGCGTCGATATATGGGAATTCAGGATGAATCTTTTTGCCTATAATTGGCCACCTTTTACCAGTAAGGGAAGCCATTTTTGCTACAGCAAATGCACGGTCTCCATAACTCTTGGCCATATGTTGCGCAACCTCACATTCCAAGCCAAAATCTTGTACTAATCTGATGTACATTGTTGGACTCCAACCATGAGCTCCCTCGAGGAGAAAACCATTTGTTTGACAGGGTCTTTCAGGCTTTAAATCGCAGGCTTAACAAATAATATGAAAATTAAAAATAAAACTTAACAAATCTCTATCGTACATATACATCATGTACTATACCCTTGATAGCTGTATCGATAGTTTCCTCAGCCATCGCTCTGTACGTTGTCCATTTTCCTCCAGCTATCGTGATAAGTTTCGTGGGACTGACATGTACAATGTGATTTCTCGCAAGGGACTGGGTATTTGGTTTGTTTGGATCGGAGACAAGAGGTCTAATTCCGCTCCAAGCGGACAAGACATCCCCTCGACGAACTTCAACGTCCGGATTGAGGTAGTTCTTCACTTCACGTAAAATGAACATAATTTCATCCTCAGTGGGTCGTGGATTATGCGTTATTTCGCAGGGTAAATCAGTCGTTCCTGCGATCGTTTGTTTCTGCCAGGGTAAGAAAAAGATCACTCGGCCGTCACTCGTTGATGGATCCAATAAACCCATCTGATCGGGGCTATAAAAATGAATTAATACATATAATTAATGTATGTTTTTCTTAACCATGCTTCCCAAGTTCAAGTTTTATAATCTACTCAGTTATTCACCTGTAATAGCCTGGAAGAACAATATGAACACCAGAAGAGGGACAGCAGATTTCTTTAACGTTCTGGTCATCCATTTTCCTGATATGGTCGGTGAAAGGTCCCGTTGCGTTTATTATTGCCTTTGCCTTCACATCCCATTGTTCACCCGTAAGTTCGTCTTTCACTCGAGCTCCAGTAAGGACCCGATTACCATCCTTCGTGCAGAAAAAATTTTATTCCGATAAACAATCTATCTTCACATGGCTCTTATTACATATGTACAATCAGATAATATCGATGCCAATACCTTATCGAGACCTTTCAAGAGATTAACAACTTTAACATGATTTACGACTGTGGCACCATGTCGTGAGGCAGTTAGTGCAACTGCCAAATTCATTCTGGCATCATCCTGTTGACCTGTTACATCAAAGCAATATGAAATTACAGCATGCTTGAAAGAGTTGATAAAGAATAGCACAATAGAAATACCATCATAGTAAACAATAGCTCCTGTGAGTTTATCTCCTTTCAGCATGGGAAACAATTCTAGCGCATCCCTCTTGCTGAGAAAGTACGATGATCTAACTGTCTTGCCTCCGGCAACAAGATCATACATTTTTATACCAAACCAGTAGTAGGGAATTTGCCACCACCTGTTGAAGATAAGTGGATTTTGATTATTGATATCGAACAGGTAAAAACAATTAAGTAATAAACATCATAACATACGTGTAAACAGGCAACATGATAGGCAGAGGATGAGCCAAATGAGGTGCGCTGTGTAACATAGACGCTCGTTCATGCAAAGCTTCTTTGACCATTCTGTATTGTTCTACATCCAGTTGTAGTATAGCCTTCTGTAAGTAACGGACTCCTCCATGAATAAGTTTAGTACTCCTAGAGGATGTACCAGAAGCAAAATCATCTGCCTCGATTAATGCCGTCTTCAAACCTGGAAATTAAAAATAGCATATGATTAATAGATAACTACCTAAGGTATTTTATTTATTTAAAGTCGCATTACCTCGTGTACATGCATCTAACGCACATCCAGCTCCAGTCGCACCACCACCGACGATAAGAACATCGTACTCTTCGTGATTCTTCAACGCCTTCACTTGATCTTCCCTGGTTGGCAAAGGTCTTTTCGATGGTCGTGATTTCTGTACATCCGCGTGTACCTAATAAATAAAGGAATATTGTATCAAGCGAGCTACAACCAATTTTACACAATACGTCCTCCGAGATTAATATTTTTATTTGATCATTTTGATTATAAATAAATTTCTGATGTTTATACATTTTTGGGAAAATTTAAGATTCCAGAAATCTACAAAATACATATATGTAGTATGCAAAAGTATGTAAAATATTTAAAGTAGAGCACTTATTATCATATTTAGTAGATGAAACAAATTTCTATCTAAATTCTATTTTTTTAATTATGTGCATAAAAATATAAAATTCCATAAGATTCATCTAATTATAAACCAGTTTTCATAAATGACACGATACTAGTCGATAAAACAGTTGAAGATGGAGCGGGTCATTCAAAACAAAATAGCATTCGCCGCGTATTTATTAGTACAGATTGAAAGCTATTCTTCGCTTATCATCGTATAGGAGCATGGGGCAATTATCGTAATAGACGACCCTATACCAGTGTCGTCTTGGATATAATCAACTTTAGTCACTTCGTGATAGAATCAATTGCGATCACGATTCGTGTCACTGTATCAATTTGATTTGTCGGGTATAATCAAGTTTGATAAATATCGGTATCGTGCTTACACTTCCATACAATAAATGAAAAATTTTACGTTGGTCTTTATTTTTATTTTCCTTAACTTTTGTTCATATATTGTCAAATCAGAATGAAATAATCCTATATTCAGACGGGCCATAGCTTCGAAAAACAATCGTGTATCAAAATAGACGAGCATTCCTGATAGCTCGTCCTGGCCTGGCACAGACCTTTGCAGCAGTGAAATTTTGGTATCCACGTGACTTCTAACTTGGTAACTTGCTGCCACGAAACACTACAGCCTTGACTGCCAGTGTAAATTATAGTTACTAATAGCTTTCGTTAATAGCTATAAGTCAAACTGAAAAATGCAATAAACAATTGAAATTTTATTGCGATGACGATTCTGGCTTCTTTCGATATTTGCACTTAAACAGCATTTCTTTTAAACGCTGTACATTCTCAGGAAACGAGAAAGAAAAAAAGATACAAGAGCGATAATCAAAATTGTAATAAGAAGAAGTTAATACGTTTGATTGCAGAGAACAATAAGAAATGACTAAAAAATTTTCTGGTATATAAAGGGGGCCCAACAAATCCATCTTCGCTGATATCTCACTGCCTATGTTCCTGCCATTTTTAACATAATCCCACGAGTGAGTTTCAAACGGAAAATTCCATATCCCTTGCACGATTAGCTCTTACAAAGAAGAAATCATAACCAGCAAATAAAGAATGAAATAGCGAGAACATAATATGCAAAGTAAAATATTCAATATATTGGCACATGCCATATAAGTAATTCTCAGTTTTTCTGACAGCTAAGTTTTAAGGCAATAGTTCTCTAAAATTACCATTGAAACTTAATAAAAAGGTATAGGGAATTGCAAAAAGTATGGAAAAATTAATTATTGATTAACTTTGCCAATTAGTAACTTTTTATTCTCATCTAGTATATGCAAACTAACGTCAGCATCACTTGTGAGATGATCAGATAATATATAGAAAGTGCAACAGATTTCTGTCTAGGTTCCATTTTTCCAATATGAATTTTTAGCATAAATTTGCATGAACATTCACGATTTAATAAAGTCGATTATACTTACGGTATTATCGGTCATTAACAGATAAGAAGTAAGAGCACTAGCACCGATGGCACTTGCACCACCCACTAATAGCTTTAGCGATGCCATTTTATTACGTCTGTTATGATGGAACCACCCTTTTGGAAAGATCTGAAAATAAACGAAAATACGCTTGTATTACTGTTGCTCGCGTCAACCGCGGTTTAGAAATTACGTAAGACGAGAACGGAATAGAAAAATAATTATAGAAAGATACGACGAAGGGTTGCTAAACGGCGAAATTTCTACACGAATGATAAGCGTTCGTTAAATGAAGAAAAAATATCGTTATACAATGATAAGATAAATGATAAGATAAATCGAATTGATAGCTGTAAAACTGAAGATATAATCTTTCGGGCGATTAATCAATGCCCCTGATCTATTTAGTGAATCACCATGCAGATTTTTTGGCAATACATCAACAGGTGCAATTTGGACGACAGTAACAAGGAAACAGATACAGTACAATTTTGTTTATTCGAACAAATTAATACTAAGCCTTCGCTAATCCGAACTATGATCAAGCATGATCTCGTACTATTTCGTAATACGTACAAACACTTATTCTTATGAGTATATTAATACATGCAATTATTTATTTTTATATAAAATAAATTCTATATGTCAAAGGAGGAATGGTCGATCCTAATATGTTTCAACTAATAAAAGATGGAGAGAATAGCTACTTAGTGAACAGTGAACTTCTATTATCGGAACAGCCTTGTCCTCCTGTTTGTTCGAATAAAGAAGAGATTCTACTGTATTAAGAAGGGATACGACAAGAATGTTATCGACGAGGATTTAACCTAATTGTTTACAAATCAAAATTTGAGTTTGATCATCTTTATGTGTCTTATGTAAAAAGCAATGTAACGTACAATGATTTTAGATATTGATACAGCTATGAAAGCATAGAGTTACATAGTTCGTTGGCTTCTTTGCAAAGATTTAAGTTTTAAAAATGTTTATTGGCAGTTATCCCGGAATATTTTTGTCCTGATTAAACGTGACATACCGATTCTTTATTTCTTTTGCATCGGATCATGTGATATACGATGTCTCATACGAGACGTCGTACCTACACTGTCTTACTTACGTATACAATGATGTAATAGACCTTAGTCTAGTGATTAAGAGCCATGGGTGCAAAGTGAATTACTTGATAGTAGTGCTATAATTAACCGGCTAGAACTCACTCTTACTGAGTGAGGAAATCCGTCTTGATAAATCTACTGCATACATTCAACGGTTTCTGTTGAATTATCAGTTATAAAATACGTGATTGATAATGAATACGGACTATATGTAGTTACTATGTAAACGTAGTATAACGCGATATAATACGCAAGGTTCTGGTTGTTTGTCTACGATTTTATTAAAACTTCGAATGCCAGGAATTTTTTCAAAAAGTACTACGACATATTAACCGATTTTTAGCAAGATGCATTATGATTGCACGTTTCAAAGATATATTATGTATTAGGTAAAGAAAAACGCGTTTTTACTTTCTGGTAATAAATATAGCGATAATTTTAAATAGTAATAAAAAACATTGACGCAAATAAGGCATAATCATTCCCTATACTATCGACGGTTTAATTGCTTCTTCTCTTCAAATTTTTATTAATAATTTTTGTACATATGTTCGGGTTATTATGTTATATATATATATGTTATATTATACTAATATAACTATTAACCAATGAAAGTAACTGATATATTTAATTGAAATATGATACACAGTAAGATGCACGTGACTCTGACGCACTATTTTTTATCGGGTGACGTGTTCGTCTTAATTCATGAATTAAGGTAATTCAAATAAAAAAGTAAGAGAAAATAGAAAATATGAAATCATTACATGTAATTGGCACTTCTCTAATCACAGAGTTACTCGCCTTTCAAGTATCAAAAAAATAATTTACGTTATGCTATTCACTATGAGACCTTGACAGTCCCCTAAAACACGTGGAATTACGTAAGCAGTATTAATCAGCAAATTCTAATATTCACAGTTTCCTTTCTGACTATTTCTCTTTTTTTTATGAATGTCAGATGCATCGAGATATAATATATGCGAAATATCTTATGAAAATGGAGAAACTGATTGGATTGGATGAAACTAGTTAACACTAGTTGAATCTTATGCTCGAAGCAAACGGAGTCATAACATTTCCATAATTTTTATAAATATTAAAGTACATGTATATTACGATAATGCAAATGTAGAGACCGATGTCGTAAAGCTACGTTTTAAAATAGCACCCGAATCTCGTGCCAAATGATTTGGAATGTCATCAGTATTTGTATTGTAACTGTACTCATTATACAATACAGATATACAATATTATGAGTGGGAAAAAAAAAATATTCACTAACTTTCTCTTATTTCAATATGGATGAATGAATGAAATCTCGTAAACAATCCATTCTTCAGTTACATAAATCGACCTCAACGTACCACCACCTTCTTCTAATTAAAACTTCAGTGATCATAGGAGTTAGTTTATAAGGATTTCTATAAAAAAATTCATAATTAACATCACCTTATCTCTTCGTTAAAAAATGTAAAATAATTTAGTACGAAAATAAATGATTTATTATCTATATGCAATAATTCATAAAATGTTCTTTGCTGTAGTAGCAATTGACATTTGTGACATTACTGATAACGCTACTTACTGTGAAACAAATTGACAGCTATGAGAGTCTTGAAAACACTCGCGCACAGTGGTGGTGAGTGCGATATATGAAACTAAAAATTAACGATAGACATAATCAACGAGGATGCCGGCACACATTTCACTGACTCGCGCGAGCGAATGAACCGTAGTGAACGATCAAACGACACTTAATAAAGATGTAAACTGACTACCTCAGCGACATCTTTCGAACATTTTTCTATTTATTGAATGGCGCGCCTAATAAAATGTAAATCAGTTTATTCGCTTCTTTTTGTCTGTGGATAGAAAGATTAAATCCTGAAAAAGACATAATATACTTTTACATTAGAATAATGGATTTTTTCATTCAAAGATATATAAAATTTTTCTCAATCAATTATATTGTTTTATATTCACATTTTTTTTATACAAAACAAATGATTTCCTTTCACGATGTCAAAAAACAGATTAGTCAAAAATACTCAGTTCCTTATTATTTGTTACTCGCAAAAGTTCGTAAAATAGTGATTTTTTTATCTTGATTATCTTATGTAGCATAACTTACATATGAATTATATATTATTCATACCAGAAATAAAATAATTTTTCATTATTTTACAGCGATTTATCTCTATAAACGATAGACACTCGTTTCATCCTGAACAGTTATAGGGTTGAATATACATAAAAGTCTTGTGTATTAATTAGACATAAAATAACATCCGAAATCTTAGTGCTAGTAACAAGTGAATTCACATGTTGACTATGATCTAACAAAATAAGACATGTAAACATAGTACAAATGCACAGGATGTATGATGAATGGATGTACAATAAATAGCAAAAATCATTGCAAAAAAATCAAAACACACAGCGTAGCTAATACCTACTATTTACACAAATTGTTATATCAAAATATATGATCATTTTTATTACACAATTAATTATGTTTTTTTTCTTTTCGTATTATCCTCTTGAGCCCAAAACGTGAGCTAAAAATTACACTTCGTCAGATGCAAGTACTTCTCTATCAGTGGGTGAAGATGACTTGTCTTTTCTCTCATCTTCTTTCATTTGAAGAGCAACCGCGGACTCAAGCACCCGTATCCTACCCTCATGTTTCACAATCACCGCTTTTAATTTTCGTATTTCCTCACCAAATTCTTTTAAACGTTCTTCCTGTAAAACAAACAACCATATGTTCAACAATTTCGTCAAGAATAAAGTTACGAGTGACGTACAGTAATGCCTGCCGATGCTTGTGTAGTATTTTGTGCAGAATTCGAGGAGGCAACTTTTGCTCCTTTGCTCAATATGTTTGACTTTTTATGTATTTTCAATTCGTTTTTGGCTACTGAGGGTTGATAACCGTCCCTCAGAGAGATCAGTATGGGATCCGCATCGGTTCCATTTTCCCACTCTTCGGCAGAAATCGCAGCAGTGTCGCCGGGGGTATCGGGATACAAATCTTCTTGAAATAATTCTGACTGGAAACGAATAAACGATATTAAAACGATTAAAAAAAAAACGCTTATTTATTCAGTATTCAGAATGTGTATGAATTGTACCTTTCTTGGTACAGTCATAGAGATAACCTGGCAAAAGCCTGAGTTGTTGAGCCGGTAAAATCTAGTTATTTCACAGCTATTAACATCACAGCCTCGTTTTGGCATCATTCCTATACCTCGTTGAGGATCAGGAGTTTGAAACGTATTGATATAATGAACAAAGGGAGGTTCAGGAGTAATTTCGAAATATCGAATCACAGAGTCACCCTTCCCACATAAATACACTAAATTTGTGTCGGAATCGTACAAAGGAAACATAACTCCGTTACTTGTATCCAATTCGACCATAACTATAGGTTCACCTAACATATCTGGAGCACGTAGGGAATATTGCCTCTCAGACATTTTACTGAAACCTGTGGTAAATATCAAGCCTCCCCTGAAAACACATTAAACACACATCTTTGTGGATACAGTTTTATATATATTCATAGATACAAATATAAGATCCTACAAAAATATACAAATCAATAAAATATATGTTTAAATATTATATCCTTCTCTAATTTAATAATTTACTTTTATTGTTTTTTGAATTATCTTATTCAAGTTAATCATCAAAACTGAATAACATCCACCTTGTTACAACATTTGAAAACTGTGTCTTTTGTATTAAATACACACGTGTGAAATAACATGAAATAAATAAAATAATTATGAAGAAATAGTGTTGTCTGCGCAACAAATTATTTCAACTTATATTTTAAGCAGAGATCAGTGCACCAGCTCTGTCACTGAATTTTGTAAAATATATATACACCTGAATCGATCTGTCCGTTTTTCGAAACAGATATTACCAGCATTCAAAACTGCATTAATGATTTTTTAGATATTAGCGTAGTTATTTCACTGTATTCTGTACTTGTTTGCCAACATATACGAAATGTTATATTTTAAATGATATATATACGATACTTACTGAAACTTTTATGCGGATACTACACAGTGGACACCTTGATATTTGCATTTATTAAGCTGACATCCCCCTGACGAGTTGCATTTTCAATCTTCAAGTTTTCCATTAAAAAATACCAAATCTCGCACTACACAAATTGGAAAGACCATGTGATAATAAAAAATAAATGTATTCTTAACGAGCAAATAGAAGTATCAATCACATGTCATTAAAAGATACTATAGCCTGCCATAAACATAGTCTGTTTTGAGATAAACATCACATTTATCCTTACATTTATTGTGTAAAAAGGCGGATGTATATTGTTTGATGATTATTTAATGTGGAAGATATGTTGATAGTGTTTTGCATAATCAAGGTATTCATTATTCCTAAATACATATTTCGGTAACATTTATTTGAAATTTATTGGTTTTCATGTGCACAATGGTAGAAATATTTGTGATTAAATATATGTATAATTAAAAGCTAAAATGGCTTATCCACATTGATAAATACCTACTGAAAAGAAATTTACATACCTGAGAAAGATTGCACGAGTTGCTTTACTACCTTCGTGCGCAATGGCTTCTTCTAATATCTCTCCAGTTCTTGGATCCAAAATTCGAATCTTTTTATCTTTACAAGTAGTAACTACTCTGGAACCATCCCAATTCCAACATGCAGAATAAATCATATCTGGATGACAATCTATTCGTACTATGGCTTCTCCTGTGCCTACATTCCAAATCAATACAAGATTGTCAGATCCAGCTGTGAGCAATATGTTCAACGCTGTAGGGTGCCATAATACAAGGCCAACTCTGCGCTGATGCAGCTGGAGATCTACCACAGATTCAGTTAATGTCCTAGAAATACCACCATCAGGTATTTGCCATACTTTAACTACGCAATCTTCGGAACCTGATGCTATGATATTATCATTATGAGGACACCATGCAATGTCTAATACAGGACCTTTATGTCCACCGACTAAAGGATAATCTGCTGGTATTCGACCTACCTATAATAATATAAAGATAAAATATAAAATAATAAAATTAACGTGAGAATTACTTGCTAAATATCTAATAAAATAACAAATAATATACTAGTACAGTGCTTAACTTGAAATTGAAAAAAAAAACGAAAATGACAGGGAGATCGAGGGTGAAACTTACTTTGTTATGCGGTAAGACTATGAAAGCACCACCGCCTGCAGATTCTACGATGATAGCGAGAAATTTTGGATTCACGGCGCAAAAGGTTGAATCCCATGAGGACTTCGACACCCTTATATTATCGTAACATTGTTCACGTTTTAAAGCCGTCCCGTACACGTGGCGGAACTTGCTGCTGCGCACCACACGGAAAGACATATCTGCACCTACTTTCGGTGACAAACAAAAAGCGAAGGGAACAATGATTAACCTAAAGAATAAGGATGGTACTTTGCCGTGTGCCGGTTATTATGATTATTTTAATAAATTATTGTTACGTGTCCACCGCCAACGTGGGCGTCGCGTGGACCATCCCCGTTTTATAAATAGATTCCCCACCCTTGACGTGTTGAAATGAGCGCGACTGAAATAAGAATATTTTTCGAATCTCGACTTTTTACTGTTTATAAGTTTAATGTTTCTCCCCCAGTCTTCTCGACCTCAGGACTGCCAATTATCACGGATATCTCGGAAATATTTAATAGACCATAATTGATCAAACGAAAAATAGATCTGATCCACCCGAAATAAACCGGCCGCCGCTTTTATGCGACGATGATTCACACCGATCGTCATAGCGTTCCTGAATTTACATTACTGTACTCCGTCCGGTCCCGTCTAAGGCATGGATTGCAATCCAAATGCTTCGTTATTTCGATATTTTCGGACGAACGTTTGATCACTAAATTCGCGGATATCGTGATTTTTGACGTTATGCCAATATCGAGGAGCAACCCGGGGGAGTATCGAAATTTCCCCACTGCTGGAGAACGCATTTAGGTCAATTGTATTCTCCGTTCGTGCTCCAATGAAATATCCTTCGTGAAAAAAATTAACATATTAGAAATCAGATTATCTGTGTTCAACTTAAGAGCAAGATAAGTAGAGCAGAATTGTTTTACAAATGCGAGCAAAACCACAATTACAAATGCGATTTACCTTCGACTATTTAAAGAAATACATCTATCATTCCCTCTGAATGTCGTTCTTTTATCTCACCCCGGTACGTTCGACGAAACAAACGAAAATCTTATCAATTAAAACAACTTGAACTAAAAACTGATTTTCTATATACGTGTTAATAGAAAGCTAAATAACGGAATAATTTCAACGTCCCGATTAATCGTTCTGCTATCGTCAACGGGTTGACGCCGACTGCTATTCTCTCGCGCTAACTGTATCTAATCTACCACGTGTTTGTATACGCCACATGCACATACGCATCAGAGATATTCACGCGCAACTACGACTCACGATTAACTATTACATTATCGTATTTTACAGATAAGAATGCAGAGCTGCATTCATCGGATGACGAATACTCTTTTTTTAATTCGATCAACACTCGGAGGAATTTCAACGTTCCCGCCGACTAGCAATAACGTTGTAATTCAGTGAACGACCACGTAGTAGCGCTATTGACACGAACGACTGGATCATTTGAGAGCACCTTATTTGGAAGTGCGCACCCTGCTCCTGTGAATACCTACCCCCGAAGCTA